TTTACTTTGTGCAGTATGCTACATTCCAGCCATGCAAAAACCAGAGGTTTCTCAACACACCCACATCTCTCTCCAACCATGCAAGCCAGTGGCATTATTACAATTCAGAAATACAGTACATCCTAGCCAGGGAAAAGTACCGTACTCAAGGAGTGTGGCCTGGGGAGAGAGCCCTGAGGACTGGGAAGAAATAAATGGCCTGAGGTTCCTCACTCTGGTTCTATGAGTTAAATGACATCTCTTACTAAAGTGCATCAAATAAAATTATTCATTGAAACAAAGCTAATTTGTGTTGTTATCTTTTAACTCAAGGTCTTCATAATCTACATTTTAGAAAGCAATCATCTAGAGTGGTTACTTAGCTTGGAATACACTGCCTAAACTAGCATAACAGGTTCAATATAGCATAAAAAAACAATTTGTTGAGTTGAAAGGTATTATTGTTCCACCTTGTGGAGACTGCCTGTTCATTCATATATTCTGCATTTCCTCCTGCAATTCAGAGTGTGGTAAATGAATAATTTTTAAGTAGAGCTCCAAAACCACACTGTGTTGCTTCTATGCAGTCTTAAATCTTCTGTGGTCAGAAGCAAGTTGCAGGGAGTCCACCCTATGCTTAAATCTTGCATGCAGTTCATCACCATCTATGCACTCCATCATGTAAAAAGTGGCAGATAGGGGAGGTGGGGAATAAAGTTTTATTTTACTTCCTTTATTGTTAGGATCTTACAATTTTTTTTTTACATATACTGTGGGCAAGATTTATTAGCATATTTCCCCCACCGCACTAGTCACACCATTTTAAGTGCATTCCAAAAACCTTTACAATGGGCAAGAGTAGAAAGAGTGCTCATCTTGCCCAGTCTTGTTGTCAGCACTTAGAATGCTGAAGAATAAGCTACGTTAATTACACCTTAATCGGTTAACCAGGCATTGACTCATTAAAACATGTATATGTTGGGTGTTGGCCATAGTGATTAGGGAAGTTAAGACAGAGAACTCCGCATAAAATGGAAGATTAAAAATGTATTAGGAAGCAGTTGATGTTTAGGATAGCATGGTTCTGTATATGGTTGTTTTGTTTTAGCTTCTACAGTGACCAAAATCAGATCTCAGGCTGGTTATTTTTTTCAGGAAAGCATGTTGTTTCAATCCAACTCAAGATTCATTCATTCAGTTAAAAACTGTTTCCTTTTGAAAAGCTATTTTGTATCTTTTTTAAAACAACAACAACAATGTCCAATAATGCTCTCCACTCTGCCATAAATTAACCAATTTAGTGAAGCCTAGGTGGTTTGCCACCTTTAAGACAGAATTGCTGCTTTATACTGCCCCAGTTTGAACCTTGTGTATAACATGATAAATGAATCAATGTATTTCAGTTATCAAGGTGTGTGTGTGTGTGTGTGTGTGTGTTGTGCCTCAAATAATTCATTCTTTGGATTATTTAGATTAAAACACTGCTTTCCAGTGTTTACTATTTATGGGTTAGCGGAGTCTGTAACCTGAAGCATCTGTAACCTGAAGCGTCTGTAACCCGAGGTACCACTGTACTTCTTCAAAACTCCAAATGTGCCCCTGACCTATCTAAATATAGTTGACGGCTTTTATAATCTTGATGTGCCTCAAAATTATGCCTCAAAACACTGGCATTACACTTTACTGCAATGTCTTCTCATTAATATATGCATTACGCATTTTGTGCTTCCCATATCCTTTTCTAAAAGCATTAGGTTTCCAGTCCTTCACTTCACATGCTACAATCCTTGCCACATTGGTAGGTTAACTGGTGCATGCCAAGGCCTTGAGGCCTCCATAGAGTTAGGGCTCTTTCTTACGATAGCATTGTTCACGGGCCAGGATCTATAATACATAAACCACTGGAAAAAATGTGGATGATTCTTTAACCTGAAGTGGTTAAACTGAGAATTCATCAGTTTTCTAGAACAATGAAGCACATGTGTCTTTCTTGATCTCTTTTCATAGTTTATCTTCTCCTTCAATCTCAGCAAATCAGTTTTAGATTTCAAATGGTCTGTACAAAAGTTCAAGAGGTTCAGAACACACTCCCCTTTATCTTAAATTGTGTTTATTTAAAAGCCCTTCTATAACCCTTAATATTTAAAAATGTATAGTTTACAAAAATAATGAAACAGTATCATAAAAAGTATAGGAAAAGGATAAACAAATACTAATAACAAGGCCCAATTTGATGGCTCAAGAAAAACCTGGCCAAAAAGATGTGCTTTCACATAAGATGCCTAAAGGAGTGAACAGGTGACACTTTACATATGGCAGAAGAAAGGGCAAGCACATCTACAAGCCAGGCGACCATGCTGTAATTAGTATTCATCTGTCAAGGACAATGAAAACAAGGATGGAATAGATTTCAAAGCCACTTGAGACACATTTATGTTACAATGAAATGGGAATAGATATGGTTATAGTGATGAAGATTAATTACCGTATTTTTCGCTCTATAAGATGCACCAGACCACAAGACACACCTAGTTTTTGGAGGAGGAAAACAACAACAACAAAATATTCTGAATCTCAGAAGCCAGAACAGCAAGAGGGGTCACTGTGCAGTGAAAGCAGCAATCCCTCTTGCTGTTCTGGCTTCTGGGATAGCTGCGCAGACTGCATGCGCTCCATAAGACGCACACACATTTCTCCTTACTTTTTAGGAGGGAAAAAGTGAGTCTTAGAGAGCAAAAAATACGGTACATGCTGGATGAACAGAAGGGGTGGGTTATTGTTTTTTGTTTTATTATGTATTTTAATATGTATTTTGTGTTTTATCTGAGATCTACAGAAGAAGGGTGGAATAATAATAATAATAATAATAATAATAATAATAATAATAATAATAATAATAATATCCATATTATAATTTCCTCAATTTATTTGTAAGTGTTATGTTCTTTGTTGGCTTTTATAATTTCCAAAAGCAACTTTGGTCAAATTCCACTGTGCATGTTGTTTCTCCTTTGAACAGCAGAATCCAATACCATGTTTAATTCACATCTATTTCAAAAAATTGGACCATAAAGAAGGCTGATCGCCGAAGAATTGATGCTTTTGAATTATGGTGCTGGAGAAGACTCTTGAGAGTCCCATGGACTGCAAGAAGATCAAACGCATCCACTCTTAAGGAAATCAGCCCAGCAGTGCTCACTGGAAGGAAAGATCGTGAAGCTGAGGCTCCAGTACTTTGGCCACCTCATGAGAAGAGAAGACTCCCTGGAGAAGACACTGATGCTGGGAAAGATGGAGGGCACAAGGAGAAGGGGGCAACAGAGGATGAGATGGTTGGATAGTGTTTTCGAGGTTACCAGCATGAGTTTGACCAAACTGCGGGAGGTAGTGGAGGACAGAGGTGCCTGGCGTCCTCTGGTCCATGGGGTCACGAAGAGTCGGACACGACTAAACGACTAAACAACAACAACATTTCAAAATTAGTTTGTCATGTTTGATGCTGTTTGAGAAACAACTCCAAACCTCCCTGGGCATGTGAAACTTTGAACGCAGGTCCAAGTGTGCTTCAGCCATGTTTTGATAAAATGTTATCATGTGTGCTTGCAGTTGAAGAAACAAGAGGTGCTCCCTGTGTTATCCAATCAAACACAATTCATACACTAACTCAGCAGTGAGAATGTTTTTCCGTTTAGTGAAGAACCCAAATTTAAATGACTACAGTAAAGGCAACAGAATGGATTCTTACACCGGCAACAGAACAACATTATTCACTGCACCCAAGGGCAGCAAGGTGGCAGGCAGAGGCTGCATGGTGCACATACAGTGGTACCTCGGGTTAAGAACTTAATTCGTTCTGGAGGTCCGTTCTTAACCTGAAACTGTTCTTAACCTGAGGTACCACTTTAGCTAATGGGGCCTTCCGCTGCTGCCGCACCACCACCGCGCGATTTCTGTTCTCATTCTGAAACAAAGTTCTTAACCAAGGTACTATTTCTGGGTTAGCAGAGTCTGTAACCTGAAGTGTCTGTAACCAAAGGTACCACTGTACAGTCATACCTCGGGATGAATACGCTTCGGGTTAGGCATTTTTGGGTCGCGCTCCATGGCAACCCGGAAGTAACGGAGCACGTTACTTCTGGGTTTCGATGTGCGCGCATGCGCAGACGGTCAAAATGACGTCACGCACATGTGCAGAAGCGCTAAAACATGACCCGCGCACACACAGACACGGGTTACATTTGCTTTGGGATGTGAACGGGGCTCCGGAATGGATCCCGTTCGCATCCCGAGGTACCACTGTAGTTCTATTTGGTCCCTATCTCTCCCTACCTGAGGCAGCTGCCTCATTCTGCAAAGGCAGCTCTAGCCCTTTTCAACCAAAGCTGGAGCATGCTTCAGAGAAGAAGAGTCAGGACATATTTGTATTAATATGCCATTTGCTCCAACTGCAATATTTGGATTATCGCGCTGTTTTGGCAAGAACTGAGATGGGAAATGGCCATAGAAGAGTGCAGGGCACAAAGTTCTACAGTGCATCAGATTAGTAATAGGTTACTTTCACACAGCTCTGTGATTACTAATTTGCCCAACAATCACACTTTCAATGCAGACTTCCATTTGTGAAGCATCAACAATATAATCTCAGTTGTGCAGATTCCTGGACTTTAACAAGTTAGGAAATCCAATTTATATACAGTGGTACCTTGGTTTTCAAATTTAATCTGTTCCGGGAGACTGTTCGACTCCCAGAATGGTTCGCAAACCAAGGCGCGGCTTCCGATTGGTTGCAGGAACTTCCTGCAGGCAATCAGAAGCCCTGTAAGCTGCATTGGACGCTCAGCTTCCAAAGAATGTTTGCAAACCAGAACACTCACTTTTGGGTTTGCGACGTTCAGGAGCCAATTTGTTTGACGACTAAGGCATTTGACAACCAAGGTACCACTGTACAGGAAAAACTTAACAGAAGCAATGGTAAAGTCACTCATCTGAAATGAAAGTTTTGTAATTAGCATTCCACAAAATATTTTTTTAAAAATGAAAGTTTATTCATAGTCAATGGCTCAAATAGCAAATAAAAAGAATCTGGTAAGGCATCAGCCTATGACAATAGTTTCTCTGTGTCCATTGGCTTCATAACACCTTGGTTCCCATTACACAAACATCAATGTTAGTGGTTAAACTCCCTGGTTAGACAGACTGAAAACAAATACACAATAAGATGAGGACCAATCTGCTTGGCCAGGCACATCAAGAACTAATTCTGCACATGGTAGCGTCTACAGGAGAATGTACATACAAAAAGTTTTGATAAACAAGTGTTCTCTAAACAGCCACATTCCTAATGTCTACTTGTTAGCATGTTAAATATGTGTTGTCTAGTCTGCTCAGACACATCTTGAACTGTCTTTTCATAAATTCACACATGTATATAAAAAAGTGTTTTTTGTAACTGATCTAACCTTTACACCTACACCCAAGAAACTTAAAAGCCTCAGATAGTGCTTTATCTTTCAATTCCACATACTAAACGTACTAATTATATTTCAAAAAGCAGAACAGTAAAGGGCAATACATTTTAATGTATCAATGAGGGACTATGGAAGCACATGGCCAATATTTCCATACTGCAAAGTAGAGTGGGGTATTTGACTGATATCAGAAAAAGTAGCTATAACGCTTTCCCATTAGGTAATGCATAGCTAACATTTCCAAAGCCTTAGACAGGAGTAACACAGAAAAATGGAAAATTTATATTTTCCAGACAGATCAATTTGTGCTCTAAGTACACAACTACCAGCAACTATTTGCCCCGCACTGTGCCCCAACCCTAGGAAGATACCTTCCCCAAATTAAGTAGCTGCCAAAGGGCAGTGTCAATGTCTGTGCATTAAGAAATACGTGACCACTTCTGGCTGAAATGTGCTCCACCCTCTTTTTATATTCAATCTCAGATGTCTATGACGGCCCTTCCACTGTAAGCAAAAGCAATCTTCATTGAATCACAGGTTAATAGTACGCTCTGGATTATTAAAGACCCAGAGTATGGCACACTTTTCTGATCAGAGATACTGCTAGCACACAGCTAGTTAGCAAAATTGCTCACAAAAACTGCACTCCACACTGAAGGATATACTTTCACAGTGATGCACACACCTCAGTGCATCACAAAGAAGATACACCCTTAACTACGTTACTTTTTTAAAGTTTTTTTTTAAATTAAGGCATATTCAAATATACTCATGAGTTTATACCATTTGTCTAAGCTAATTCCATGTATAAATGACTTCCAATAGAAGCAGAGAACAGAGCTCGTTTCTCTTCTCTAATTTGCATATTCTTATAACTGCAAAAAAAAAAAAAAGCATATATACACTACCTTTGCTTAGTTTTGACCACTGCTGTAGTTTCCAAGGCAGTAGAAGACAAAGTGAAGTTTGGGTGATAGAAAACTGTATGCTTTAGGAGAAATGATAGAAAGTAATGCTTTGTTTACAGTTCAAGACGGACTGCCCATGAAAAAAAACCCTCTACATTCAGAAGAACCATGGTGAGAGGCAGCAAGTTATGAAATGGGTTGAATTCTGCTTCTCTTGAAGCCACGTTAAACTTTTTCAGTGAAAGACTTTCAGTGCTGTCCCAATTCATGCTTTAAGTGGTACATTACAATTTCCAAACTGTTAAGAGTAATTTCCGTCATAGGAGCCTCCAAATGGCATGCTATAAGTTATGGATTTTATTAGTATGATCAAGGGATGATGAGAGTTTGGAACTTTGATTATAAAATGCAACATCTTTCTCTGATCCTCTTGGCTAGGCTTTTCCTTTTCTTTTTTCCATTCTTTTCTTTGCTGTCTTCCATCTTTCTTGCTCTGATTTCTCGCATTAAATCAAAAAATACCTAGAAAGAAAAATACAAGTGTTAGTAAGGTAAAGGTAAAGGTACCCCTGCCCGTATGGGCCAGTCTTGACAGACTCTAGGGTTGTGCGCCCATCTCACTTAAGAGGCCGGGGGCCAGCGCTGTCCGGAGACACTTCCGGGTCACGTGGCCAGCATGACAAGCTGCATCTGGTGAGCCAGAGCCGCACACAGAAACGCCGTTTACCTTCCCGCTAGTAAGCGGTCCCTATTTATCTACTTGCACCCGGGGGTGCTTTCGAACTGCTAGGTTTACAAGTGTTAGTAAAGGTAAAGGTAAAGGTACCCCTGCCCGTACGGGCCAGTCTTGACTGACTCTAGGGTTGCGCGCTCATCTCACTCTATAGGCCGGGGGCCAGCGCTGTCCGGAGACACTTCCGGGTCACGTGGCCAGCGTGACAAAGCTGCATCTGGCAAGCCAGCACAGCACACGGAAACGCCGTTTACCTTCCCGCTAGTAAGCGGTCCCTATTTATCTACTTGCACCCGGGGGTGCTTTCGAACTGCTAGGTTGGCAGGCGCTGGGACCGAACAACGGGAGCGCACCCCGCCGCGGGGATTCAAACCGCCGACCTTTCGATCGGCAAGCCCTAGGCGCTGAGGCTTTTACCCACAGCGCCACCCGCGTCCCTACAAGTGTTAGTACATGTGTGCAAACATGTGCTACATTAATCGAAGCCTGCATTTTTAAGCTTTTAAGTAAACCAAGAGGTTCTGCTTCATTCCTTTTCAGCTACGCGTGGTAATGTATTGTAGGGTTAAAACTGTTTTCATATTTTTCTTTAACAGAATTCTATAGAAAGTAGAAAGAAAACAAAAATATATCTATTCAGACCTGCTGTTAAAAATGTAAGTAGCCATGCTAAGCACAGCTTGCTAAAATCATAAAGCGGATATGAAGTCACATGCCAGAAACTGGTAAATCAATGTTGCATGTGACCCAACTATAGAAGTAAGGATGATTGCTTAAATGCAAACTAGCCTGCCACCGACCCTTAATGAATGAAAATATTCCTGAGTGCTACAAAACCATTTGCTCAAATTAGAAGCCCAAAAAACTTCTAGGAAACAGCTGTCCATCGTGTTCTAGTGAGTCAATAACGATTCAGTACCACATTGCTCAGAGTAAACAAGCCAACTTACATTTAGTGACCCAATTTCTAACATCTGAGTTTTTAAAAAGGACTTTCCTGTTATGCAGTCATGTTTGTATATAGGTCAGAAAGGAGAGGTTTGCATATTAAACCACTAAGCCCCTTAACCGTTTGCCAAGCAGATTTTCTGCAAGGCAAGAGCCAGTACTTAGAACTAGTGAAGAATAAGTTTTAAGAACTATAGGGTTCTTATTGTTGTAATTTTAAAAAAACAAAAGATTTAAGAAGTTTTCACCTTTGTACCAGATCATTAAAACATGAGTTGATTAAATTACACCACTGCCTTCCATCTCATTTGAAAGAGATTAAGACACTGATGCTAGCATTTTCTGCCTAGGGTATATAATCAAATTCTTTAAAAGAAGAGTATGAAAGAACTTAAACACACACACACACACACACACACACACACACACACACGGTAGCTCATACAATGTTAAACCCCAGTTTACCTATAAGCATTATAGCTCACATCTCCTTCAACAATGTAAGTCAGAACCCACCCTTCACCCTTTACAGGGGCAACACAGTCGCCAGCAACTACTTTCCTTAGACTGGAATTAATCCCACTCAGAACAAATGGAAGCAGGTTCAGGCCATAGTCTGTTAGAGAATGAGCATCAACACGCCATCTCACCCCCTCCCCACTTTGTCTCACACCCACTGGTGGAGGAAGAGGGGGTGGGGGAGGGCACCGCCCCTGCAGCGCAATCCCGGTGGGGTGCCATTGCGGCTGTCACCCTGCCCACGCTGGCTGCCACGCCCCCACAGGCGGCATGCCACGCCCCCGCCTGAAGCTCCATCACTGCTCACACCAGATTTGCGATAAGGCTTCTGGTTTGTTAAATTGCAGTTTCCCATGATGTCTGAACTGGAAATACTTACCTGCAAACTGGACTAAAAACTATGGATTGCAACCCTGATTTACAGGCAGCAACCAAGGCATCATAGGAAATGGTAATTTGAAAAACCAGGAAATGTTCTCTACAGCTGAGCATACAAGAGGGAATGTTCAAGCCCATTGCTTGAACTCCTGTAGCCTTATTTGAGTTCACCGATTCGGTCTGCGTTGCTCCGGGACAGGAGGAAGGAAGTCAAATGACACCAAGGTTGGCTCAAAGAAAGAGTTTATTCTGCTCTCCGGATAGCAGAAGGCACTTGCGTGATCAAGTCCACAGCAAGTCCAAAGAAACGAGAAGTTTCATGCAGTATATATATCCTCCAGGCACCCTCTCCCCCTTCCCCAGCCATGTCAGCTTGTACACGCAGGTTGACATCACAGATGTTCCTGCTCCGGCACTCTTAACCATAAAAGGGATTTCCTTCCTGCACTCCTGACCATAAAAGGATCTTCCTCTTCCTACTCTTATCTTGGAGGAAGAGGTCATCATCTCCGGGAACACGTTTCTGTCGTTGTTCCCAGATTTCGGTCTGTGCGTCTTTTGTGGTCAGCACATAAGATAAGGCACTGACGTGCTTGCTCTGTTCCCCTAGACCAGCCAGGGTCATCCCTGACGTCACAAACTGGTAAAGGAGAGAGCTGTGTTCTTGTTATGCATTTGCTCAACGGCTCAATTTTATGCATTTTAGCTAAGGGATTTTGGTGCAGTTTAAAACTGCCTGCACAGTCAGTTTTGGGTTTTGGGAAACCCATTCATTCACTCCAACTAACCCCAGCGAAACTCCTTAGTGAGCCATTTGAATGTCTTCTGTTCAGCTACCTGTTAGAGCATTCATCTTGAAGAAGAATGAGCAATACACAAAAGAGACAGGGTAACATTAATCATTAGTCTTGACAAACAATGAGTGGAATCAGAGGTTTATGAAGATGTATTTGGGAAATGGTAAACTTTTACCTTGTCGACATTAGCTCGTGTTTTAGCAGACGTTTCAACATAGTTAACATTCCACTGATCAGCTCTGTTTTTTGCTTCTTCTACAGAAACCTGTCTTTTGTCTTCCAAATCCGATTTGTTACCAACTAGCAAAAATGGAACATTCTCATCTTCTTTTACCCTTAAAATCTGCTCTCTGAAGAGAAGAGAAAAAACACATATTAAGACCCATGCAGTTTAATCTTCTGATTTCTCAGATATGACACTTTAATACAACCTTCGTGAAATAAACATATGTTTTTGCTGTTACCCATCATGCACTATCACCAACTTGGTGCTAGGTATTCACAATATGCAACTGGCAAAGGCCCTACGCAGGAGAGCAGTCAGAAAAGGAGTAGCAAGTAAGAAGCTATAAACTGTTAACTGACGGCACACATAAAGAGGACTAACAGATGAGCCCGTTATAAATTTTATAAGAGGATAACTTTGAAGATGAGATGGTAATGCAGGAGAAGCCAAACACAAGAATTAGCAGTTTAACATCAATAAAAAACTGACCAAGTAGCGCTATAGAGGATTATCAAGATTAATGAAGATATTTACTTTCAGGATTATTAAGCAGAAACAATACATAAATTAGGTATTTTATAGAAAAAGGGAAATATTTTAAAGTGATAGTGAAGCAGACTTTACATTTTACCACTGACATTAACCTTTGGCTTAATTTAACCTTGATATCAAACAATCAAACTATCAACATGATTACTCCCCAAATACCTAACTGACAGTCATGTCACAACTGCCTGCCTAACAGACTAGCTTCTATCCCAACACACCTGTGGCAGTTCCTACAACATGACTTTTCATGCTAGATAAAGGCTATCCAGAATCTGTGCCACTTTGCACTCCAACCTTTTTAAGAATGAAAATGCCAATCTACGATACAAAGAACTGATCATTTTCCTTCTGAAAAGCAGCTCAACAAATTATTGCCTACAACTGTAAGTCTTTAGAATATTTGCAAAAAACCTGGTCTATAGCACTTTCAGAAAAATTGACTAAGGAAGTCGAAGCATTAGCTGGAAAAAGGGACAGGGACGATTTCATAGTGACAAGATATTCTTTTATTGCACATTCAACAGAACATCATTTACAGTGGCATCCACTACTTACAGTGAGGGGGGAAAGTATTTGATCCCCTCAAGTATTTTAATGGTAGTTTTATTGTAGCTGTGAGAGACACAATAACAACAGGAAAACCCCCAGAAACCCAGAAGTCAGAGATTGATGTGCATTATAATGAGTAAAATAAGTACTTGATCCCCTATCAACCAGCCAGATGTCAGGCTACCTGGTATCTTCACTGTATGTAACGAGCTGAGATTAGAAGCACCTGCTGTAAGGGAGAGGTCTTACCTGTAATCCCAGCTCGTTACAGTACCTGTACAAAAGACACCTGTCGACAGAAGCAATCAATCCAGCAGATTCCAAAGTAGCCACCATGACCAAGACCAAAGAGCTGTCCAAGAATGTCAGGGACAAGCTTGTACAGCTGCACAAGGCTGGGCTGGGCTACAAGACTATTGCCAAGCAGCTTGGTGAGAAGGCGACAACAGCTGGTGCAATAATTCGCAAACACAAAAGAACTGCCAACCTCCCTCGGTCTGGGGCTCCATGCAAGATCTCATCTCGTGGAGTTGCAATGATCAGGAGAATGGTGATGAAGCAGCCCAGAACTACACGGGGGGAACTTGTCAATGATCTCAGGGCAGCTGGGACCATAAGTCACTATGAAAACAGTTGGTAACATACTACACCGTGAAGGACTGAGATCTTGCAGAGCCCACAAGGTCCCCTTGCTCAAGACAGCACATGTACAGGTCTGTCTGCAGTTTGCCAATGCACATCTGAATGACCCAGAGGAGAACTGGGTTAAAGTGTTATGGTCAGATGAGATCAAAATCGAGCTCTTTGCCATCAACTCAACTCACTGTGTTTGGAGGAGGAGGAATGCTGCCTACGACCCCAAGAACACCATCCCCACCGTCAAAAAAAGGAGGGGGACATATTATGCTTTGGGGTGTTTTTCTGCTAAGGGGACAGGACACCTTCACCGCATCGAAGGGACAATCGACGGGACCATGTATTGTCAAATCTTGGGTGAGCTCCTCCTTCCCTCAACCAGGGCATTGAAAAGGGGTCGAGGATGGGTATTCCAGCATGACAATGACCTATAACACATGGCCAAGGCAACAAAGGAGTGGCTCAGGAAGAAGCACATTAAGGTCTTGGAGTGGCCTAGCCAGTCTCCAGACCTTAATCCCATCCAAAATCTGTGGAGGGAGCTGAAGGTTCGAGTAGTTACACATGAGTCTTGAAATCTTACTGACTTGGAGAGGATCTGCAAAGAGGAGTGGGATGAAATACCTCCTGAGATGTGTGCAAACCTGGTGGCCACCTACAAGAAACGTCTGACATCTGTAATTGCCAACAAGGGTTTTGGCACCAAGTACTAAGTCATCTTTTGCAAAGGGATCAAATACTTCTTTCACTCATTGTAACACGCATCAATCTCTGACTTTTGTCTTCTGGGATTCTGGGGGTTTTCCTGTTGTTACTCTGTCTCTCACAGCTACAAATAAACCTACCATTAAAATTATGGACTGGTCATTTCTTCGTCAGGGGGCAAACGGGCAAATTTAGCAGGGGTTCAAATACTTTCCCTCCTCACTGTACAACTCTGGAACAATGTTTTCCCATAAAAATTATGTATCTTGGAGAGGAAGGGACAGGAACATTTGTTAGGGGAGTGTATATTTTCTATGTTCGTTTTCTTGAAAATTAATTTTTAAAGAAAGAATCTTTGCCACTCAAGAGAATTTTTGGCAAACCTACAGTTGAATCTGTGGTCTCGAATTAACAGAAATTAAATGCTGAAGTTTGATTAGGAAACAATAATAAAGACCCAGCCTCATGCACTTAAGAAAGAAGAGGCAATCTATACCAATTGTGTCCATCATATGCTGTCTAGCAAACACTTCCTCAATGTTCAGTGGCAAAGAAACTTTTATTCACTGTGATTCAGTTTACAGTGGCCCAGTATGCACACCACAAAATAGTTTAAAATAAGCTACGATTTAATGTATGGATTACCTTGCTCCTTCCCAAGTCCTGATTGTGATGCAGAAGGGAAGAAACAAGTCAAGCATCTGGGCTTGTTGTGATGTAGAAACCTGGGCTTGTGATTTTTCTCCAAATAACCCTTGACTTATCAGTTATCAGTTATCGGTTGTGGAATGTTTGGAATGAAACAAACCATGAGCAAACCGTGAGCACTAGTTTGTGCAAAGCCTGAAGCCAGACTCTAGCTTGTGACCAATTCAGTAAAGAGAACAGTCACCATATTTGGCACTGAATATTCACTGAGTGTTTAGCACACAAAACCTTTTAATGCCAAGTAGGCACACAATGAGTTAATCAACAATTGGAAAGGCCGGTAGTCATTTTAAGCTTCCTTCTACCTTTTAAAAATTATACAGCATACAAAGGTAAACTAGGCTTTCTAAGTTAACACATATTTGTTCAGGCATTTTAAGTGTTTTAGCATGTGATTGTTGCAGCCTCTACTGTTTTCACCTGCCTTCATTTTTCATTTATTGTGGCTCAGCTTGTTTTACTGTTGTTCAGACATAAATTCAATCATGTAATTTATTTTGTGGTACCCCACTCTTTGTACCAGCATCAATAAAAGATGTTCTACCCCTGATTCAATCCTGTTCTATGGCATAGCAGAAGTGATACAGAAGTCACTACATATTTGTATCTTTCATGGCTTCAGAACTTTAAAAAGATCCCCAGCCATGTCAACAGCTAATGCTGGACACAACAGGAACCAAGAATTTCCAACATAGTAAATAACCCAATAGTGTTTTGTGTCATTAAAAATAGGTTATATGTTACATTTATTCAGATACCAGATGTGCCATGCCTTCTTTTTCAGGCAAGCTTCATTTTTCAAAATAAATAATGAAGCTCTTACACCATGATGCAATATTTGTATTATAAACATCAATCTTGGGAGTGCAGCTCCTGATTCCCATTGCAAGGCAGATACTTTATGCTGGTGATTTAATTGTTTTTGAGCAAACAAAGTACATTTGTGTAAAAGTTATTGAGTAATTGGCTAGAATGACTGAGCCAACTGTAACCTCCAACTCCTTTGTTTCTCATGTTTGACCTTGAAAATGCATCTGTGTTATAAGAACTGCATTACTCAGCAGACAGCAGCCACCCAACAGTTACGATGAACAAAAATGCAATATTAAGCTGCTAAGGCTATGTAAGGACTATGTCTGCTGATTCTGGGGGCTTTATGTGAACTAGCACAATGTCGACTGTGGAAATATGTATGGAATGTAGCCATAAAGAAGCAACTTTCACCTTGCAGCAAGTTGTTCTTTTTCTTTGGACTGTTGCCTCTGCTGTCTGCCTTATCTGTATCCTTAATTCAGGGCCTCTTTCCCTCTATTCCTATTTAGCTGCATCCCATCCCTGTGGCCATGATAATAGTGGTTTCTTATCCCCATCAAGGGCCTTGCTTCTTAGATGTTTATTCCTTAAAACTCTCCAATGTTATTGATGGAGAGGCCTGGAGTATAGGCTGATGTTAACCATGCACATATATTCTGCAGCGATATTATAGGCCAGAAAAGCATGGAACAAAGCTACAATTTAGCACAGTAAAAATATGATGCTGAATTCACTAAAACAAACCAGTTTCTCTCATACACATCCAATTACCTGAAGTCGGCTGTAGCAGCAAAAGATTCAAGCTCTGTAATAGAGAATACACAGAGAAAACCCTCTCCACTTCGGAAGTAGTTGTCTCGAATTGCAGCATAATCCTCCTGCCCTGCTGTATCCAATATATCTATCTGGACTTCTTCCCCATCTAGGACTACTTTTTTTCTGTAGCTGTCTGCTTTGGTAGGCTCATAGTCTTCCACAAACTGGCAAGAAATGAAACAGAGTCAGTCTTATTTTGGTAACTTCCACCAGGGATTCCAAAGAAACATTCCTTGACCAAATACTGGTAACATTTATATAGCACTTTAAAGTGTTCAGTGTTTCACTTGCATCATCTAGTGGCTCAGAACTGCCCTGGGGGTGGGGGAGAGACCAGAGGTTGTGAGAGTGTCCTGTCCAAGGCCATCTGGTGAATTCATGGCAGAGGCAAGATGTGATCAGGGAACTTTCTAATTCTTAAGGCAAACGCAGCCATTATGCTACACCAGCAATATCCAGTAATATTTAGGCAGATAACATCAAGTTCTATCAGAGGTTCAATTTGCTATAAAGTTAACATGAGGAGTGTTGGAATGAGAAAAATGAATGGAACTTCAAACGAAAGACTAGTTTAATTCTGACAAATATTTGTTAATTGGGCAATCCTAAATAGTCATCAATTAAACTGTGGAGAATTATATGCAGGCAGCAGCATGAACCTATAGAATGGCAAAAGAGTTATTTTGGAAGCTTTGTTGAAATTAAATAATCCACAATACTATGAATTCATAACAGAGGATGGTTTGTTTGAATAAGAATTAATGTAGAAAAATCAGTATCTACAATCAATATTGCTTTCTATGTGTTCATACTCAAGCTAAACAATACTGTTACTTTGGCTGTATTAATTTGTAATACAATATGATTTTTATATTTTTAGTTATTTGTAAGTTATAGGTACAAATACTGTATAAATATAGCATTTTAATTAAAAGTTGAAAATTAAACTGCTGTAAATAAAAGCATACTGAAAAACTATTGCTGATCAAAAGTCTCTTGGACTCTTTAAACAAATATAGCAGCAGCTAGGGCAAAATTCTACAACCTTTTATTAATCTAACTCTGCCTCTCTGACTTGCAAGAAGTGCTCAATCCGACAATCAGCTGATTTTTCAGCAGTCCAATTCAAAGCACTGCAGAAGACAGTGGGCAAAAAAGAGCCACCTGACATTGTGTCAAACCTGGCCTGCAAGGGGTGGGGGAAATAACAATTGAGTTAGAAAGGTTCCACACCCCTGCCATAAACCATACAAAAATCTTTCCAGCTGAAAGAACTAGTCTGCTCAGGTTTGCTGAAGCAGTTACCAAACGAACTAAAATGTAGTGATTAGACTCCCTGTTCATATACAGCCTGAGAACACACTTCTTTAAAAAAAATGATTGTCACACTCTTACCTCATCATACATGAACTGCAGCGTTAATGCAGATTTTCCTACACCTCCACTGCCTACCATGATGACTTTGTGCAGAGCCAAAGAATTTTGACTTTTGGGCTTATTTGCTGCCATTTTTGGATTTCAGATATTTCACACAAAGAAGGAACCTGGGTGGAGAAATGTTTTTTTAATTAATAAGGATTTTTAAACATTCATAAGGAGGTTCAGTAACTAAAATGTACAATAGCTACAAAATAAGTAGAAGCATGCTCCCATGGCTTAGCCCAACTTCAAAAACAACTACAGTAATACAAACACAACCTGCTCAGCATAACAGAATCAAGCAAAGAGAATTGTTCTCTGAATAAGGATGGCTTTCAGCTTTTAGATATAAAAAAAATTAACATGCTTGGGATTGAACCTGCAACCTTTTGTATGAAAAACATGTGATCTGCCACTGAGTTACAACTCTTCCAGTTGTTTCTGCTTTGTGGACATATTCACATATAAAACTAGTTCAAAATCCTCTAACACACCTATTTTTTTAAAGGGGGGTGAACTCTGAATTTAGTCTTCATGGTTTGAAGTATCTGAGGAAAAATCTAAGTAAGGCGAATGTAAGTGTAAGCCTCAGACATTTGCCACAGACTGGCCCAAAGTCATTCAGTGAGCTCCATGGCCAAGTGGGGATTTGAACCCTGATCTTCCAGGTCTTAGTCCAACACTTCAATTGCTACACCACACTTGTTTGTTCTTTCTGTGTACACACATACGCACACCACATATGTATGGTACCTTAATGTTTTCCCCTCTAGAGCAAATAGTAGCTGGGAATGGGGAAGACAGTTACAAACATTCCCCTTTGCCATGCTAGTTTATTCTGCGGGTCTAGCAGATGCTTTTCTTTTCCTTTCCTTTTTTAAAAAAGGAAGTGTTGAGAGATCTGATGACAGATTTCCACTTCTAATACAGTGGTGTTAATTCCAATAAGGGAGTAGCTAGCCAGTTCATGAATACAGTAGTACCTCGGGTTACGAACTTAATTCGTTCCAGAGGTCCGTTCTTAACCTGAAATTATTCTTAACCTGAGGCGCGCTTTCGCTAATGGGGCCTCCTCCTGCCACCGCACGATTTCCATTCTCATCCTGGGGCAAAGTTTGTAACCCGAGGTACTACTTCCGGGTTAGCGGAGTTTGGAGCCTGAAGTGTTTGGAACCCGAGGTTCTGTATATACATTTAGATACAAGGACTATTCAGAAAGTTTGACTTACATACACTTAACTGTTATGCAGACTGATGCTTCTCAGCAAACTTGCATAGGAAGTCCTACTGTGTTCAAGAGAGCTTATTCCCAGGGAAACAAGCACAGGATCACGGCTTAATGTATGCACGGATAAATGGCATTTGTAGGAAAACTTAATTTTTCCTTTAAAATACTGTATGTACTAAACCACTCTAGGCGTAGAAGAATTTAACATTCAGCATCTCTGTTAGCCCACAGCTTATTACAAGAGAAAAGTTGGGTATCATAGATGATACTTTTTTTTTTTGTACACTTGGCTGCTTACATTTGCTTTCCAGCTCATTATATAGAATGCAAAGCTCATAGGATATGCATTTACATATAAGGTTGTCAAATTAGTGACAACAGGGTTTTGTGACAGTTTGATTGGAAACAGGAAAAGCGTACACCTGTTATATTTTTAGAACTGAGGCAGACAAATACTGGACTCTTAAAGATCTTATGCAACTAAAAGCTGTCCACTGCTACAAGGAAGGAAGACTACAATACAAAAGTACTGTTGGGATCTGCGGAACTTGTATTTTACAGGTGCCATATATTTAATACTAGGCAGGTACCCTTGATATATTGTTTGAGATACTTGCTAAAGGGTTGTTTTTTTTAAGCAAGCCTACCCAGACATATAATTTAGGGTTCTGCTTTTTTAAATGCATATTTGTAAGTATTCATCCTTGTTAATCATGGCTGCAGTGGAAACAGGGTCCACAGTTCTAAACATCCCTTCATATTGTGAAGAACTAGACAAAATAAAACACCCTCTGCAAAGAGATCACTGTTATGAGTCATGTAACATGACCAGTCTGGAGGTAGAAAGAGAATGCCATCACCAGAAGTATCTGCCATAGTGCTTGACTGCACTTTTGCATGCCCCGGCTGGTCTACTGCATCTACTAACTTCTTAACAGTACCATCTGGTACTGGTAAATCTAAAGGCCATAAGAAGTAATCAGAAAGAACATGGGTCAGCAAACTTTTTCAGCAGGGGGCTGGTCCACTGTCCCTCAGACTTTGTGGGCGGCCAGACTATTATTATTTTTTTTTGGGGGGGGGGGGAATGAACAAATTCCTATGCCCCACAAATAACCCAGAGATGCATTTTAAATAAAAAAAACCACATTCTACTCATGTAAAAACATGCTGATTCCCGGACCATCCACGGGCCGGATTTAGAAGGCTAATGGGCTGTATCCAGCACCCGGGCCTTAGTTTGCCTACCCATGAGAAAGACCATAAACAGAAGCCACAATGCAGGAGTGTGAAATAAAATGCAAGTAATATGCCTACAGCCAAAGTCTGTAAGAGTGCTGTTTTCAGTAACAGTCTGCTTAAATGTATGTGAATCTCAACAGCTTAGTGCTGTTACAGCAGACCATGTATCGGTGTGATGCAGTGGCTGAACATGGAAACCTAAATCTGGGACATTTCACACAACATGGAAGCATGTACAGTCGTACCTTAGAAGTCGAACAGCCTAGTTCTCAAACGTTTTGGCTCCGGAACGCCGCAAACCAGGAAGTGACTGTTCCGGTTTACGAACTATTTTTGGAAGCTGAATGTCCGACAGGGCTTCCACGGTGTCTGATTGGCTGCAGGAGTTTCCTGCAGCCAATCAGAAGCCGCACTTTGGTTTTCGAATGTTTTGGAAGTCGAAAGTACTTCCGGAATGGATTCCATTCAAATTCCGAGGTACCCAGCAGGGAGATGTAGTCCATCCCATCTAATTGGACAAACACCACCTCCAAGGAGAGTGAGATTTCTATTGGGGCCTTCTAGACGCATTACCTCAGTCTCTTTACCGCTATGCATCATTACCACAAGACAGTGGGACAATTTATCATATACCTACTAATGGCATCATCCCCGCCACACCTGCTAACATCCCCAAAGCAAGCCATCAAAATAGCAAATCCCATCATTTTTGGCAGGGATGAAGCAATCTACTCTGAAAATGTTCTCACCATTCAGGAATACAGTATGACTGTTCTTCCATCACTTGAGCAGTTTGAGCATGTTAGTGATTTAATAAACTAAGTTATCAAAACACTTAATGGGGGGGAAGAGTCCAGCAACATCTGGAGGGCCAAAGGCCCACTGCCTCTGGTTTAAGAGTTACCATGGGTATTTAATATGTAATACCCTTCAATGTATTACAATGGCAGTTTCACATTTTATTCCGCAGCCTAGATACATTGGTATTTACTGAAATCAACAAGTGATGCATGAATGGGACGTATTTATTCACAACTGCTCAGTGACTCATCCCAAGACACTGCAACTCCCTGGTGCCTGTCTACTGGACATCTTCCCTTCACACTGTGTTCATTACAACAGCCATTAGGATACCCAGATGACAGCGCAAATGAATATAAAACTCTAGGGTTCTTTTGTTAGCTTACTTGCCATTGCCATGATCAGAAGCTAGGAAATATTATTGCAGTGGAAGGAAATTTGACAAATGTTGGTAACAGAAAATGGTGCTAAATGACCTGAGAGAATACAAAGTTTTTGCCTGACACAACCCCCCCCCCCCCCGCATTAGAATAGGCACCAGGTGAGCCTCTTAATGGAGAGTATCCTATAGCCCAGGAGCAAACAAGAAGACATTCTGTATCATAGTCACCCACATTACTTCAGATTGAGAGGGGGTTATTTACCAGTTTCATTACGAACCAGAGAGTTCTCCCTAATAGCTTCATAGGAAGAAAGGAGGTAGTGACACCAATCTGTACAAAAGCTCAAAGTGTTTTGGATAAAACTTAATATGTAAAGCACAAGATTATGCACATCCTCACAAGAAATCCAAGTTTAGAACACACAAATCTAAGTGTTAAGAAGCTTAGAACAACTTCCCCATGTTGTTGCTAGCAGGTACAGACTAACAACTCTTAATAGAAATATTTTTAGCTTAGAGATAAATTTAATGAAAAGATTTTCTACATACAAAACCAAGGCCCAGTACAGGTATACTATATACTGAAAATGAAATTGAGAAAAACATTTTAAAAGTCGATAAAAGGCTTTAAAATACTGTTTCTTGTACATTTAAAATAACTGTAAAAGGACTATTTTCTTTGTTTGGCTATGTTACTCCCATTTCAAACAAAGAAATGTAATACTCCTGGCAAGTTTGTCTAAGATTCATTATAGCCAGTGCAGTAAGTTGACAATGTAACTGAAGCTTGTCTTTTTTTCCCTAGTAGCAAATGTATTTTACGGCAAAATAATTTGATCAATTATCAACACAGTGTTAGCCAGAAACTCTCAATGTCTTATTCCACCTTGCATTTTCCTGATTAATTAAATGCAGGCCAAAGACAGAAAGAGAATCTCTTTGTGGTTTCCATTTTAGGAATGTATGCATTTACAATGGAAGTTGAAGATGCGGTACAAGAGCAAGACTCATGAACATAGTCTTGTTGCTAGAGCCTTGACTACTTCAAATCACAGCTTAACTATGAAGTCAGAGTGTGGCCTTGGGCCAAAGCATTCTCAGCATTCTCCCTACAACTGCCTTCTATACAAGTAAGTTTTGAGGGCAAGTGGGGCATTTAACAATTCATAATCTAAAGACTTAAGACAGCAGGTGGGCTGCCTCTGTATATCTGCCCTGCCTTTAGCAAGACTTGTTCAATGCCGCCTGTCTTCATCAGCTCTAGAACACTTCACATAGCTGAACTACAGCAACAAGTAAAACAAAAGTCCAGCACATGTTTCAGGTCCCCCAAAACAAGACCCCAGGGAAGCAAAAATACATTTTAAAAATCTTTCCTAGTATTTCTCCAACAAGACGTAAAGTTTACACCTCTTTTCCCACTGAAGACACTTATAAGACAGAAGTTTGCATATGCCATGATTGCCTATCCCTCCCAGAGTTGTCAGCGATGCCTTTCACATTAGGGGGATGCAGGCAAACCCCCTTTGCCTCAAAAGCATGTGTGAGGGGGCAACAAGTCAATTGCACGGCTCCCAAAGAATTCAGCACCATGAGGAGAGGCCCGGCCTATGCACATACTGACATAGCTGTGCAGTGCAGGAGTGGGTCTGTCCCATCTGCTTCAATCCTTACCCACCACCCTGAGATCTACTAGTAGATCCAAATTTACTTTCCACCCATCACTATTGTAGAGCTCCTCCACACAAAGGGAACAAAGAGTCCCCTCTCCCTGGCATTCAGCTCTCTTGAAACTCATTGGTAGGGCCCTTTCTTTCTCACTGTTACCAAATGCAGGGCTCAACAAGTTTCGGCTTGCCTTACTTGCAAATTTGTCAGCACCAAGACATACATGCACCCTTCCCACAAGGCCCAGGGTGTTGCCCACAATCACATACTACATCTCATATCAACCACAAGGTCAAAGAAACTGCTCCTCTTTCTAGGTCTAAGTTTGGAGCAGAGAACAGAAAAACACACACACTCTTTGGAGAGAGGGAAAAGGCTTGTTCTGTGTCTGTGTCCAAAGGGTGCTCTGAGCACCTATCAAGGATGGAGGGACATCCAGGCACCTTCACTGTCCATCTCCAGCTTTAAGCATATGCAGGGATGTACACTCACTTTTTTTAAAAACCCCTTTCACAGTGTGTGGCTGACAAGGTAGCCAAGGCTAGTTAATTTGAACTCTCTTATTGAGAACTCTGATCCTAGGGGACAAAAATGGCGAAAGGATGAGGACACTGGAATAAGATGATGTTGCATATACTGGAGACAAGTGGCTCCCAACTCTACAATTCTGATTCAGTGAGGTCTTGGGGAGCACAAGCTTTTTTGGGGGTTTTTTAAGTTCAAGTTGTAAGATTTGTTCTAAAGTGGTAATGGAGAGCAGAAAAGATATTAAGGATTTCATCATGGGCTGAACAAGAATGTCTGCTGGGTTGCTAAAGTTCTAATTTAAAAGCATGTTATTCTCATGGCTGTCAATACCAGGCAGTGCTGAAAGTGAGACTTGGTATACCATTCTACAAACTTGTGCAGTGCAAACTTGTAAGAGTTCAATATAACACAATACTGTTAAATTTTAGAAACTGGGTAATGGAGAGCTAGGTTGCTTTCAGACACCCAGTTTATTAAGCATTCAGCCTGATTTGTTTGCACAAAGTTTGCAGGGAGGTTGGGCAAAGCTGGCTATTTACTGAGCATTAATTCCAATTGGTTTGCAAGGCTTTTACTCAACATTGAATCAAATGTTGTTATCCCACAGTTTTTTTTCCGGGGGGGGGAGCAGAGGGGGCAGGTTTGTTTCAGAAGAGCATCAAATCAACTAACTGTACGACCTGAATTTTCTGGTACGTGACTGACTTCAATCCAAAAAGAGCAACACAGTCCGAATATGCCCATAGCTACACGTTTAAGCAGGGGCATTCAGTGTTAGAAATTAGCAAGGCGCATTTTGCTACTGGCGTGGGTCCAATTGTGACCAAGTGGAGATCTCTGGATGCCAAGCTTGATGACTGACATCTCCACCTGGCTGCCCCCCCAAGCTTTCTTAAGCAGGTAAGCAGAATAACTTATATATTGTATTTATATCCCCCCCTTTCCTCAAAGGATTCCATGGTTCACCTCCTCCCCCAGTTAATCACTACAACAATCCTGTGAGGTAGGTTAAGAGGCTGTGACTGGCCCAAGATCACCCAGCAAGCTTCATGACTGAGGGGGGATTTGAACATTGATCTTCCAGGTCCTAGTCTAGCACTCTAAACCATTACACCACACTGGCTTCCTAGAGTACTTCTGCTATGGGTCAGCTATATAAAATAAATGGGTAAATAAATATGGGGAAAGCAAAATGTCAGTTGGAGAAGGATCTGAAATATTTCCCTTGAAGCCTGACTTTGTTTTCTTTTGGATTGTTTTCTTTTATATTTTAATGAGTTGTAAACTCATAAAAAAGTTACCTAGACATTCTGTTGTGGCAACCGTAACCTAGGTTTAAGGTGCCATTTGGCGATTAGCTTATATATCAGAGTTTCTAAAACTGGGCACACTCTACTGTTAAAAGTTCTTGAACGTTTTGAAAGCAAGTACCAGTGGTCTGGTGCTGGTTGCGGTTGCTGTTTTCACTACCCAAGCATCTGCTGCTAGAAGTGTTTTACTAATCCAACAGACTCTACAAGGCATATGTAATTTAGAATTTGCAAACACACTTAGTTGCAGACAAAATTCACTAGCTTGAAATGGAGTTATGCAAATATTTTCAAAGCGTATGAGAATTTAGATATAGAAGGAATCAATTTTTTCCCCTTTGACCAAGTTAAGGAAGGGGGAATGTAGACACTTAGAAATCTTAGTATTCAAACTAAATGATATCTCAGCATCTCAAGTATACCAAAAAACAAATTAGTAAAGATGAACGCAAACAATGGAGTCACATTGGAATTACATCAGTAATTAAGCACTCTCCTAAGCTCTGTACTCAGAATGTCTTACATACAGCTAATTTATGCTCAGCAAGATCCCAAGGTCCTTTTAGCAATGGGAAAGAGCAGTAAAGCTGCATTCAAGGCAATTCAACTGTATTAAGGTATGTAGGATATTCACCCATATAACTTCTTATGATAAATTTGCATACGTAACAGTGCAAATTCCAGAATCTACAGAGTATATTTCCTGCGCTTAGGATGGCTCACTTCGTATAAATGAAGAGATTTCCAAATTACATGTCTAAGGTCAGCACAGTGGCGTAGCGTGGGTTGTCAGCACCTGGGGCAAGGCAAGTAATTTGCGCCCCCTAACCCATGGATTTTAGCACTTGAGTGCGAGCGGGCCCCCCCCAAGATGTTGCGCCCGGTCCCCCCTGCACCCCCGCTACGCCACTGGGTCAGCAAGTACAGTAAGTATATGAAATCCTTAAGTATCCCTGTAAACTTTGAAAACGCTTACATTTGAAAATGCCTTTCTCATGATGACTTTGGCTTGAGTGCAGCAGCCTAACTAAGCCTAACGACACACCCAGCACGCTTCAAGAAGCTCCGCTTCCCTACAGACTCAGGAGTGGAACATTTATTCACAGAGGAGGGAGGCCATCTAAGCTCCTGCTCTAATCCTGTCTTCAATACCCGAGTATTTCAGCAAGCAGTACAGCAGTAGCCTGGATCTTGTCAACAACAATGCAGCATAGAAGGGGGGGGGGTTAATGGGTGGAAGAGAGCAACTCCCCCCCCCCCATGCTCTGGACAAATTATGCCTTCCATCTCAAGAAGGGACCCGGAACCTGACTTTATATGGAAGGAATTTAGCCTCAGAACATTAAGCAGTCAAGTGGCTTAGATGGCTTTGTGAAAGAGATTACGCTAATTCGTGGGGGATGGAGGGATCCAGCAACAGTTCTTCAGCCACCGCAGGTTAACGGAAGTTGTGCATTCAGAGCTAGCGCACCAAGCGCTACCTGGTACACATGACAGACAGCAAGGTGTGTGTGTGTGTGTGTGTGTGTGTGTTGCGTGTACACTTTCACACGCAGGTCGGTCGCGAGATTCCTGGAAGCACCTGGCTGGCAACTGCGGGAGCCTGACCTCGGCGGGGCCCCAAGCCCGATCCCGCAGAGTCCGCTCTCTTTGTTCTTAGGAGAGCCCCCGGCCCCAAACGGGAGACCCCGGCCTCCCAGCAAGACCCTCCAGGGCCCCAGCCAGTTCAGCACTGCGGAGAGATAATGGCCGAAAGGCGAGGCGCTTCCCGGGACCCCCCAAAAGACAGCAGCCCCTTTGCTGGAGGCGAGCCCAGCAGCCCCCCCCCAACACACAACAACAACCCCGCAGAGACGCCGCGGGGCGAGAGGGCGGGCAGGCGGGAACCGGGCAGAGAAAACCCCTTCGGCCTTCCGAGGCGGAGAGAAGGGCAGCCGCCTGCACGCCCTCGACCACTAGGCCGCCCCGCCACCATTATCATTACCACCCCGCCTGCAGCCTCGCCCGGGTCCCACCCCGCCGCCGCCGCCGCCGCCGCCGGGCTGCGGCCAACTCGAGGCGCGCCCGGGAAAGGGAGGGAGGGCAGGCCGGGCCCGTCTCACCTGCTGAGGAAGGGCCAGGAGCGGCGCGCGGGGAAGAGGAGGAGGAGGAGGAGGACGGGGACGCAGCTCGACGCGGCCTGCGCCTGCCTGCAGCTCCCGGGCCGGCGGCGGCGGGCGGCACCTCAGTCTCTGGCTGGCGGGCGCGCCCTGGTCGAAGCCAGCTCCTCCCGCTCCTCCTCCCGACGCAGCCGAGGCGGAGGAAGCAGGCGAGGCGGGGCCTAAAACAACCCAACGCCGCCGCCTCCTCCTCCTCGAGCGCCTTCCGGGGGCGGGAGACGCGGTTCTCTGCGGCGGGGCGGGTCTCGGCTTCTCCTCAGGCGCCGCTGGGCCCGTCCTGAGGGAGAGAGGTAAGGGGAGCCCCGCGCGCCAAGCCGCCTCCCCGCCTCAGGCGAAGGCTCCGCCCGCAGCCGCCGCTCGAGGAGGAGGAGGGGGACCGTCCGGGTTTTAATGAAGGAGGCGTCGGGGTGGAGCGAGAGGAGGAGGAGGCGGCCTCGGCCTCGAAGCCCCGCAGCCCCCGCCCCCAGGACGAGGCCGGAGGAAAGACGGCTGCCTCGCTCGCTCTCTCCGACGCCGGCACCAGCAGCAGCACCCCCGGCTTCCCCAGGTTGAGCCAGTGACTGGAAAGGCAGGTATCCCTTCCCGACCGCCAGTCCGCCATTAAACGACTCCCCCGCCTCAGCAAGGCGTGGGGTGGGAGAAATGGGTCCCCCCCCCCGGCTAGGCTAAAGGCCGCCGTCCAGCGGGAGCGCACCTGCCTTGCGTGCAGAAGGCCCCCGCTTCGCTCCCCCCGTGGCAGGAGAGACACTCCCCGCCTGAGGCCATGGAGAGCAGCAGCTGCTGCCGGTCAGTGTAGAGCAGCCTTTCTCAAGCTTGGGCAGCGGCGGCGGCAGCTCTCCAAGGCTTCAGGCGGGGAGTGTCTCTCCTGCCACGGGGGTTCCCAGGTGTTCTTGAACTACATCTCCCATCATCCCTGGGACACTGGCAGTGCTGGCTAAGGATGATGGGAGTTGTAGTCCGGCAACACCTGGGGACTCAAGGTTGAGAAAGGCTGGGCAATACTGCACTGAGCAAGACCAGTGGCCTGGCTCCAGTATAAGGCAGCCTCCTATGTTCCCATATTGACATGCTGCTGCAGGCACAGCCAACTCTCAAGAGACTGCAATCTACTCCCAGTATAAAAAAAAACTGGCAGTGATAATGTCATTGGAGGGGGGAGGAGTGTGCTTGGGGTGGGTGGATTGCCCAGAGTCGTTGAGCTTTTTAAGCGCAGGATTGCCCAGAGTTATTCAGCTTTTATTTGTAAACTTTTGGTATACTTTATTTAAACCCACGATCAATAAGGGTCCCGATCTACCAGGATCTACCTGGATCAGCTGGGGATCTACCGGTAGATCGTGATTTACTGGTTGGGCATACTGTGCTAGTGCATCCAGCACTGGCTTTGGTTCTTACAAGGATGCAGAGTAGCATCTCCCTCTCTGCCACTCTGTGGTCTCCAAGCCTCGGGCATGAGAAATGCTAGCTGCAAACAATTCTGTTCAGTGCCTGGTGCCAATAAATGTGGGGTAGGGTCTGTCGATGGGTGAGAGGCCAGAGGTGTGTCAGGTCCGTGTTGGGGGACTGACTCTGAGGGAAAACAAGCAAGAGGGCTCCGTGTTGGGGCTGCAGCTGGCTCCCTTCTTCCAGTGCCAGCAATACAGGGAGGGCAAGGAGAGCCATAGTGAGGAAGGCCACAGACCATGAGAAGGTGGCCCAGAGAAAGAGTATCCCCAGCCACCACTGAGTCAAAGACTGCTTAAAAGAGAAGGTATTAACTGGACCCCTTGAAGCAGGGGGTCTCTGAAATGAAAAGAGAGAGACTAATCTTGTGACTAAGGAAACGTCTATAGACATGAAAGTGCATGTGTCAATTATCTACACTATTGTCAAGTGGTCTTCTATAGGCAGTGTATTTATTCTTCCTTTTCTTGGCTCTGATGCTGATACTACCGGTATTTGTAGGAGCAACAGTCTGACGTCTTACACTTTCCATCCTGTGTTAGCAGTATACTGCATTTTAACTGATATACCAGTGAAGGCCTGCCACATATAATGGTGAAAGGGATATTGTTGACATGCCTGCAGTAGTGCAGTTGCACCATGGAAGATAACACATCTCAGAGGTGGATAAAGGAGAGGCCAAGTTAGCTATAATTCTAAACAACGCTCAAAAGGGACAATCTCCACCTACCACCCACAGACCACCATTTCCCCATCGTGCACATGATGCATGTATTTATTTTTATTATTTAACACTTATAGAAGACAGAACCTACATGAAGGTTCACAGTCTAACACAGGGGTCAGCAAACATTTTCAGCAGGGGGCTAGTCCACTGTCACTCAGACCTTGTGGGGGATCGGACTATATTTTTTTGGAGGGGGGAAATGAACAAATTCCTATGCCCCACAAATAACCCAGAGAGGCAAATAAAAGGACACATTCTACTCATGTAAAAACATGCTGATTCCCGGACCGTCCGTGGGCTGGATTTAGAAGGCGATTGGGCTGGATCTGGCCCCCGGGCCTTAGTTTGCCTACCCATGGTCTAACAAATACTATACCAAAGGAAAAAGGATTGGGGAAGTAAGAGGAAAGCTAGCATTTCAGAAGCTGCTCCTTTGCTGACTGATGGATACGACATTGCTAAGATTTTCTTCTTGAGAGGAAATGTGTGTAGGCATCCAGTGATTCTTGGCCACCTAGTTGCTGGCAGAGCCCTTAGATTGCCTCCTTTCAGCTCTACAATCCCAGGTAATGGAAGTTGGAGCAGTGGGTTCTTTTATGTATAGAGGGTACAGAAGCAAGTTCCCTGCATCTGCTCTGGCAGATGGATGGGGCCACATTCACCTTGCTGTGATCTTCCTGGGAGGCAGAAGAGGTGGCTGCCTAAAGCTGTGATGAGTAAGAGAGTGTACTTTCCTTTGGTTCTTCAAAAAGCTCATGCTAGTTTGAGTCATATGTACAGGTGTCAACAAGACTACAACCATGAAAACAGCCACTCTTCACATGACAGACCAAGCAAATCAAAATTCTCCAAGTAGGAACAGGAAACAACAAGAGCACAACACCTAAAGTACAGGATGATGAAAATGTCTATCTTTTAGGATCATGACTCTTACTAGTCAAGGACAGGATTGAGACTAGCTCCTTCCACAGGTACAAGGTCATTTCTCGCACAGCAAACTGTTGCACTATGGAACCAGATGCATTGCACTGGTAAAGATGAAGGTACAGTTCTGTCTGCTACAGGCTTCTCTTCCCCAAAAACAGATTTGGAGTCTTAGTCTTACTGGAACAGTGTTGCATTTTATATGCACACACATTTGAACACTAGTCTTATAAAATAAAGAGTGAATCATAATGCTAGGAATTGACTGCAGTTTAGCAACACCATTCAGTGGAAATGCCTCTCCACCCACAGAAAATGTCAGGTGCATAATTTATACATTTTGTGTTCAGATGTGAGTTGTTATGCTGTCCTCAAGAGCTGTCACTCTATATTGATGAGGGAAATGGAAAAAGTGAGGGCAACTCCTGGAAAACAAAGGTTTCTCTGTGAACTATTTCTCCATTCACCTTGAACCACCAGAATAACCAGAGTTGAAATTAGTTTTAAATTATGTACACCTTGCATAGGCATTGTGGGTTATATGAAGGAGAGCTTTTTCTAGAGGCAAGGTTTCTGGAGCTTCACATTTTAGGCTGCGTGGCTTGCAAATAAGGAATGGCTTCAAATCCTGCAAAGTTGAGGGGGTGTTGTAAGTCTTGTTTTTTTACAAGCCTGTTGTGTTGTACGGACACTCCTTACCATTGTTATGGCTTCTTGGTAGCAGGAAGTAGAAGGTTCCTGTGCTCCTTGCTGGAAGAAGAATGGTGCTGCTTAGGAGCACCCCATTTTGACATTAATTCCACCAAGGCAGATGGCAGAAGCAAAATATGAATTAGGATAGTGTCAGATAAAATCAGTTTGGCGTGCGGAAGCTCCTCAGTTGAATCCCCAGCATATCCAGGAATGATTGTTGGTGGGTGGGGTGGGGGCTTGCCTGTTGCCCTGGAGAGCTGCTGCAATAATTGATAGTACTGAGCTAGATGGACCAATGGGTTTGACTTGGAAAAAAGGTAGTTTCCTAACATCTTAACAGTCCTTTTGAAAGACTGAGATAAATAGGTTTCCCTAAGAAAGGAGTTTTATAATTGTATAGTCACCATGAATAATGCCATGTACAAAGTTTAAGCTGCAAAAGTTTCCCCAAATCACTTGGGAAGAGAACTTAATAAAAAATTTATTATACCTAGAAACAAGAAGTTGGACATGTCTTTAATTGTTGAACAGAAATTACCTGTGGTTCCCCTAATGGGTGGCACACTTAAAGAGTGGCAAACACCACAGTATGTACAAATCCAGGTTCTTCTACTGCTTTTAGGTGATCAGCTCCCCCCACACCAAATGTATGCCTAAAATACTCTGGTGAATTGAAAGGTATTCTTGAGCATATTCTTAATTTGCACAGGAATATCCTTGCCTTGTCTCAGACAGTAACTAACCTTGACGCAGGCTTGTCCTCTGTGATTGTCACATTAGCTTGCTTGCTTACCTGGAAGACCAACTAAAGACTGGCCCAACATGTTTAGTCGGTCTTCCAAGTAAGCAAGCTTTCAGTAAACACGCATAAGACTGGACTGAAGTTCAAGGACAGTAAGTGCTATAAAGCTATAGATTTTTTAGCTGCTGATAACCATTGTGTTCTGTCCTTTAAATACCCCAGCACAGGGTTTTGAGAATAAAAACATCAAAATGATGTAATAGTAACAAAAAATCGATATCAATCCAGATGCTCCTAACTTGTTGCTAGGAAACACTAATCTTTTGGGTAGGCTCTTCTTAAATTGCCAGGAAATTGCTCCTGAAATTCCTGCTGGTGGTGGGGAAACGTCTTAATAAACTGGAGCAACTGGAGCATACTGAAGAAAATACTATTTTTCCACTCTGCTACACTTAGCTAAACAGAAAAGAGTCCCTTTCACCTGTAACAGTAAATTGGACAGTTGCTCCAAGAGGAAGTCAGGTTAACTACTGGCAAAAAACCCAAACCCCTATTGGGAACAACAGAATGAATCATGCAGTGGATAATTAACATTCACACTGACTTTTGCTACACCTGCAAATTAACTTCCATACTGACTTTCTCTATATCTCCACTGTACACTTATTTTTTATAAGCTGCCCAGAGTAGCTGGAGAAACCCAGCCAGATGGGAGGGGTATAAATAATAAAATTATAATTATAGAGAGAGTGAGAGAATATTGAAGAACCTTTATTTGTTCTGCACTAGTCTCTCAATCCTTTTAAAAAAAAGTTTTGTTATATGTACTACAGGAAACTACCCATTTACTCAGGGGTTATGTGAAATTGCATAGATTTGGAAAAGCCAGCAAACACCCTCTAAACCTCTGGAAACCCTTGGAAACCCCTTTATAAAACAAGAACACCTTTTCGTACATTAAATGCTGACAGATTTACTCTACTATAAATTTCCCAGATGGAGCCCACTGCAACAGCGCAATGAAGTGTTCTTCTTGGCTGTTACACCTGGATATATGGGGGGGGGCATGAAATCCATGAACTTTTGGACCTCTTGTTTCCTATTTATTTTCTCTCTTCCCATATGTCAGCTGAGAATGAGACTTCCATGCATCTGATAAGGTTGACTGTATTCTGCAAAAGCATCGGCCATAATAAATTCTGTTAGTCTTTAATGTATTACAAAGCTTCTCTTGGGGTATGAAGACACAGCAGTTGGGAGTATCTGCTACCTCAAAAGTGACAAAGTTGGGCTGTTGGTGGCCATTTCTTGAGAAAACACTTTCTTCTCTCCTCCCTCACAAACAAGCTGCCTCGTAAGTCATGGTTTTGATCAACACAAAGTCTGTTGTGACCCTGCAAGGAGTGTGAAGGTTTTAAGTTCCATTGCCTTTTTCTCTGCTCCTTGAAGAGAGGAGTTAATAAAAGTATACAGAAGTCTGTTCGACTTCCGAATCGTTCAACTTCCAAAGTGCGGCTTCTGATTGGCTGCAGGAAGTTCCTGATCATGGACCCTATTCACCAGCAAAAGCTGGTCTGGTCTCTTTCCCTTCATTATTTAGTGCAAGTGCTGAACTTCTCAACATACATTATCAGATGTAATTTTTATATGCAAACATTTGTTTCAATAGGTGTCATTTCCCTGCAGGTTTCAGTCTGATTGCTCAAGCTTACCACCCTGCTAGACTTCAGCTGCTTCTGCTCATAGCCCTCCTCACGGTTATTAGCACAGACAAGATGTCCTGGGTGCAAGCTGCAGTCAGCCAGCACAGCGAAGATGTGTTTGATGAAGATGCAAATGAAATGGACATAGCTCAGAAAGAATGGAAGAGCACCATGGAGAAACGAGTCAAAGTAATTATATGGTTTGGGTTGGGGATTGACCACATCAGTGACATAAAAATTAGCTATTGCGCTCCCAAGATGGATTAGCCTTCAGAATAGCACCAGCACCTAGCAGAATAGCACCAGCAGGTCCACCCCCCTCCCCTCAGAGGCAAATAAGGTGTGGGGAGGATGTGTTGGTTGCAGGGAGAAGATAATCCATGTTGGGGGGAAAGGGAGAGCCTTGGCTCACTGGCCTTCACTGCAGAGTTGCTGATCAGAGGATTACGGGTCAGCTATAGTGTTCTGTTTGGGAGAAACATACTTCTGGAATTAAGCAGAGAAAGTCCTTTTCAGATGAAACTAACGGCAATCCACAAGGATAGCTTAACTGTTAATGATGCACTGCCTTGCGTCATGCTATATAATCAAAGATTCAATTTTCCTCTTAATCATTTAGAAGGGATCACTTTTTTGTTTATTTGTTCAGTGCATGCAACTGGAAGGGCTGAAAAAGATCTCACACTTTTGTTATTGTGCCGAATATCCTCTGTCTGCTCCAGAAGCACTTTTTTCATGATGAGGTTGACTTTTTAAAGCTACATGATTGGCACACCTATTATGTGTAAGCCACACCTCTAAAGCAAACATTTTTCTAATTGCAGATGGACCTCATTTCATGATGGCTTATTTGAATAAGCCAGGCAGATACCGATGAGTACTGTACTGTTTCTTTTTACGTTCTAGTTGTTAATGTGATTTTGATCTCTTTGCTCAAAGGAAGGCTATAGGGAGGGAGCAGAAGCTGGAAGACTGCTGACAGTTCAAGAGGGTTTTAATCAGGGGTATAAAGAAGCAGCAAGGAAGATGATCTCATGTGGCCAACTCAAAGGAACCATAAGGTATGTAGTAAAGCAGCATTTTAAAAAAAGGAATGGAAATTAATTGTACAAGTTGTTAAATTGATAGCAGACCTCCACCAGAGAAATATATCTATTAATATCCTCTGCTAATATAGTGCCCATCTAAATTATGAACACTTAACTTTTTATTCATTCTTTATCATCACATCCTGCAGGGAACTGGGGTGCACAGCCAACACAGCAGGATTTAACACCTTGCTCATCAGCTGAAGGGGGGGCGTTAAATCCTACTCAGTTCGGTAGGATTTAATGTAAACTTCTTCACGATCAAGAAGGGTTTTGCATTGAAATTCATGCTAACAAAATCCCCTTCCATCTTACCAGCACCTTGCTGCCTGCAGGTTACTTTGAAGTTCTGACAATGGGACTTGTCACCAGATCACCTGATACCATTGTGATGTTTGATTGACAGGAGGACAGAGAAGGATCTCTCCTGTGAAGCAAAAAAAGGCTCCCCACCCCTTAATATAGCCACTTGTCCTCATACAATTTCACTCTCTGTTGAACTTGAGCTACTAGAGAACAGAAAAAGATGGCAACAGTAGTCCATTTGGTTTGCAGCTACAGCCAACTTCTCCCTCCGTACTGCTATGAAACCTGGAGGCAGCCTCTTCCATGCAGACCTCCATTGAAGGTGCCTTATAGGACGCACTGTGGAAGGAAGACATTTTCAGACTACAATTGTACATCAAGTTACAAATGCCTCAGGTTACAAACTCTGCTAAACTGGAAGAGTGACCTCGAGTTGAGAACTCTGCCCCAGGATGAGAACGGAAATCGTCTGCCAATGGTGCAGCGGCAGCAAGAGGCCCCATTAGCGAAAGCACGCCTCTAGTTAAGAACAGTTTCAGGTTAAGAATGGACCTCCGGAACGAACTAGAGGTACCACTGTACTCTATGCCGGCCATTTCTGAGCAAAGACTGTCTCCTGTCTCTTGATTTCCCCCCTCAACCATCATGGGCTGTAGGAACTTGATTCCATTATAAAGAGTATCTCAGGCATTTGCTAGATAGAAAGCAGGAAATGATACACCGTACTAGAAAAAGGTTATTTGATTGGTGCCATGGTGATTTCTAGATTTCTTACATGGCGCTCCAAATTGGAATACAAAGCTATTATAGGTTAATGTTCTGCTCAGTTGCCCTTTTATGAATGTAAATGAATATGGGAGGGGGATAATGTTTTTTTTTAAAAAGCTGTCTTGTTATTTACATGTGGTCTCATGCAAGATCCATTTTTAACTTTGTTTTTATAGTGCTCTTTCGTTCTGGTGTCAGCACAATGGATGCAGTTCTGGAGTGCAGAGCGAGGTAACTGACCTGCTGAACGAATTGGGAAAATATGAAGAATCTGTGTTTAGAAGTCTTAACTCTACCCATCTGCAGCCCCATGTTGAAGACTTGCTGGATACTATTGAGGACATGGACCTTGGTCATGCCCTCTTACCTGAGAAACAGCATGATGGAACTACAGGTGGAAGAATCTCTGAAAACGGCATTGAGTTTAGTGGACAGTGTTGCAGAAATGATAGCAGGACTGGATCCTTCCAAGAAGAATGTTGCAGAAGGAGAAAAGGTGGCACTGATTCCCAAAAAGCCAGTGTTTAGTTGGCTAAAAGAAAAAACTATCAATTTAGTAGATCAGCTAGGTTTGCCACCAGACACAATTGAACACATTCGACTATTGCAAAGTTAATTGTGTGGAATTTTTAAAAGTTTTTTTTAAAGTATCGTTTTCCCCCCAGATATGCAACTACCTCAAAACTGGCTGAAATGCAGAGATTTTGCTTTCAAATATTGCTTAATGTGCCCTTTATATAGTAGATAAAATCCTGTGGTATTACATGGATATGGCTTATGATTAATTTGTACACTGTCTAATCTCCTTTAACAAACTTTGCAAACACATCTTATGTTAGTAAATCATTCCAGGCACTATAATCTATGTTACATCGCTGTTCCAGAGATGTGAAATACAGCCTTGCAAGAGGGGATTATTCTCTCTCCCCTTGCCCCCTTCCCTGATACATAGGAAGAATGGGTGTTAAATGCAATTTGTAAAGATATCTTTAAGATTTTATTTGCATTTTTAAAATATGTATGGTGGAAGGATCCCAGTTAATGAGATGAACAGGCATAAAGCGCTGGGAAATTAACTCATTACTCCCCTGCTTTGTTTCAGGAAATTTTCTGAAGCTAGGATTTGCTTTGAGGAAGAAATTCTTTGTTGGTGCTGGCTGATGCTGTTTGCATTTTTTAATATCCGAAATATAAAGGTGCATTTAATGTCACCTTGAGTTTGGCCTTCAGATATTTACTGAAGCATTTCTTAGCTGGTAAACTAGTCTGTACATAGTACGGTTCTCTCTTCATAAGCTTTCTGGGAAAAACCTTCTTGCCCAGAAGTCAGTGCTGCACTAATCAGGGGCAGGTGGACAACGCGAGAAGAGGCAGACCTATTCAAGAGAACAAAGAAATAGAAATTCCTCTTCCTGTTTCTTTCGAACAGGGGTGACAAACTTGTGTCCCACTTCTGTGACCTCCAATACCCTCACAAAATTTGACATCACTAAATTTAATAATAAAAATGACTGATAGTGTAAAATAATTTTTTGGAAAGCAGCCTCGAGAAGTGCAGTTCTTGCTACTCACGGGAAGGTTGACTATGGGTCAATGTGGCCTCCCAAAAGATTAGCCTCCTCTCTCCCAAATAATGTGAGTTCTATGGGTCTTTTGCTGCCCTTACTTTGCTGTACTACAGCTACCACTACTTAAACTCTACCTGGTTCAGACCAAGAGAAGTCCTGTGTGTGAGACACACACACACACACACACACACACAATATCATGTAAAAATACTTACTTCACCTTACATGTAGAGCAAGGTGAACATATTGTCTGTGCAAGGGCAGATTTCAGGAGAGAGATTCATACCTCTATCCAGTAGAGACTGCACACAAAAGAGTATAATTATGGGAAAGGGCTGGGGTGCAAAAGTTTGATTGTAGTGTAAGATGGTTCATTTATCTTTTAATTTTAACTATGTCCCCAAGTAATCAAATCAATGCTACCTGAAAAAATGTCCCTATGTGACTAACATTTGATGGAATCAAGACCCTATTTTAAAAGATCACGTCTGGAAAAAAGGAAGCTTTAGTGTTAAGAAAAAAGCCCAATTTAGACAAACTTTCAGGTGGACTAGAGTTCTGCTACAGGGTGTGACCAGTATAAAGATAAAAGTTGAATTAAAATAACCCACCCACCCCTGCCAAAAAATGTTTATCCTACTAAAAAAAAGTTCCTAAAGCTTTGTTTAACATACTACTTCAGAAAACCTACTTTTTCTAAACATTCACTATAAAATAACCCTTACAATGTTGAAACTTAATGTTTAATAAGGTGGTAATCTCTGCATTCAAATTGCTTTTGTGACTTAAAACGTAACTTTTTCCAATGTTTTTCACTAAGCAGAATTAGTTTTGCCCAGTTGTAACTTGTGAGAGAAATAAACCAAGAATTACACCAAAAATAATAATGCTGTTGCTCAGTTTCACAAGTAGCCACACTACTGCTGGTTATGTTCAACTTGTTGGTCTTTGCAGTTTTCCTCACAGACTCCGTCTTTGCTCAGAGAAGTTTCCTCAGCTTTTTGTTGGGTGGCTTTCTTGAAAATTGCTCTCATGAGAACCGGAATTGACATACACCTAAGAGAAGGGCCAAGTCATCCAATATTTAAGGAATTGCTAATTCACTAAATATAATCTGACTGCTCCATATGCAGAACTAACTGACTGGTGGATAGAGCAAGCTGCATTTGCCACCGTCTCCAAACAAGTCAGCGCAGTGCAGAAAGCTTTATAGATTACATAAAATAAATTTCTACAGTTCCATGCCAGTTCTTCTGTAAGGTGACATAAAGGTACAGGTACCCCTGACGTTAAGTCCAGTTGCGAACATCTCTGGGGTTGCAGCGCTCATCTCTCTTTACTGGCCGAGGGAGCCAACGTTTGTCCGCTTCCACAGACAGTTTTTCCGGGTCATGTGGAAATTATGACTAAACTGCTTCTGGCGAAACCAGTGCAGCGCACAGAAACGCCGTTTACCTTCCTGCCGGAGTGGTACCTATTTATCTACTTGCACTTTGATGAGCTTTCAACTGCTAGGTTGGCAGGAACTGAGACTGAACAACGGGAGCTCACCCTGTTGTAGGGCCTCAAACTGCCGATGTTCCAATCTTGTTTTGCATTGCTCACTCAACAGGAGCAGTTTGAATCTTTAAAGTTGCATCCCACCACACTGCTGAAAATCCTCCTCATGCTTGATGTTTCACAAGTATTTCCTATCCCTCCACCACCCATTTCTTTCATCAATCTTTCCTGATCCTTCTAACTAATAATAATCATTTTATTAGTTGTACCCTGCCCATCTGACAGGGTTGCCCCAGCCACTCTGGGCAGCTTCTTCCTATAACAACATTGTTTTACTACCATTGTTGTCAACAACAACTACCAGCCTTTTAATTTCCTTCAACACTTCAAGCTCTTTCCCGTCAGAGCAAGGGAGACCTTGCCCACTCCTGAACCTCTCTGTCTCCAGGCCATCTTTACTCTGCACGCAGAGTTGCTAGTGTTGCCATTGGTCCAACCAAAAGGCTATGGCAGGCAGTGATGCTGAGGCCTACCTGAAAGTGGTCCAAAGACCACTGCTGAGACTCAGCCCACTGATGCTTAGACAGTGGTCTAAGTTGCCCATTACCGAAGCAAAGGAGCCTCTAGTTGCGCTAACTATTAAAAGACGGAGGAGATTTTTAGTTGCCATGAGTTCCAGAGAATGTCACACTGACATACAGGGCTCAACTAACTCTTCTGACCATCTGGAGCTAGACACTTATGGAGTTTGTGGGTAGTTTATTTTGGTTGCCTGTTTCTCACGTCTTAAGCCTGATGGAGCTATTCCACTGTGTTGTGCTCTCCTATGAAAGCTTACTCAGTATTATTAAGGTCCAGTTCCTCCAGCAAACTGTCTAAATGCATGCGTCATTTGAGAATATCCTTTTTTAAAAAGCTGAATTGGCCCGTGAAACCCACCATTTTTAATAAATTCTTCATTACAATGTTTATATGGTATTGTTTCTCCTGCCCCAATGTTTATTCAAATACTGAAAAAAAATTCCCGTTACATGAAATAATTTTTTTATCCTTTAAATTACTTAAAAGTTTCTAGCTGCTGTACAAAGTTATTAAATTTATAGATAGCCACCCATCGGTTTACAAACCATTCCATTATACATGACACAAAAGGAAAAGGGATGGGAGGGACAGAAGAAAACTTGGCCCCTATATATTATAGAAGTGTTACCTACCGCTTCAGGACTCTTGTGAGATAATCATTGCTGCAGATTAATGCTCCATCTTCAGAATGTGTATGAAGAGTGCATATAACGTCCCTTGAACTCAGAACATCGACCATCACTAAACAGAAGAGGGAAAAAATGCTCTAAAAACAAGTGTGACATTATAGTAGAGACAACAGTAAGAATTATCAACAACCACCAAATCTATTCAATCCTTAAATAGGAATTCTTTCTGGTCCCTGCATTGGTTTTATTTATTTTCCTGAAAGCATGCATGCTTAGTGGGAAGAGGTCACATATCCATGCTCATTCCATGCTGACTATAAAATTGAGCAGTTACAAATCACTACAAGATTAAAAAAAAAATGTCACCAATACTTTCAAAAGGAGTCCATTCACACATCTACCTATGAGTAACAGGCATTTGAAGTGGCTCCTGTTATCCCATCACCAGCACCATCCACCTTGGAAGGATTAACAAAACAGAAAACAGGCTGTTCACCTGTTGCAAGTTTATCCCAAGCCATCTTCAAAGCTGGTGTGGTTAAAGTTTAATCCACAGATTATGTGATAAACTGCAACATCTGCTAACTTTTTAATATTCCCAACCATAGTATAAAACTGGGAATCAGACCTAATTTATACCTAGGTAGTCACATTGCAAAATACGCATTTCCACCCTGGGACCATAGGGTGAAAGATGGACTGTAAATGACATAATGTGCTACTTTTTGTACCAATAGCCCCCAAACCAATTTAACAGAGTAAAACACAAACACTAGATAGACACACACACACACACACACACACACACATATACACACACACACACATTGTGCAATAGTAGAAAAGAGTTAATATAGATGGCTAAGTAGTAAATGGGAAGAGTTTGCCAGTTTCTTCAATGTGTGCTAAAGTAAGAGCTCCCTTGTGTATAACTATAACCATATTGTACATCACCATTAATAATAATAATGGCAGCCCTGCTTAGGGAAGCTTTTAAAGTTTGACGGAATATTGTATTTTAATATTTTGTTGGAAGCAAACCAGAGTAGCCGGGGAAACCCAGCCAGATGGGCGTGGTATAAATAAATTATTATTAATTATTTATTATTATTATTATTATTATTATTACTATTACTATTATTACCACCTCTTTTCAGACCTTATTTATGAATATGTGGCAATAGGTCACAGATGTGATCCAGCTCCTCCTCTCTAGTTCCTTACCTCTGTGTGTTCAGACTGCATGGGGAGATGGGCAGGTTAGAGGAAGGCAGGAATTGATTAAGCCAAATTTGGGGTGTTGGTTCTAGCAGGGGACTATTTGGGCTCCACATGAGGCACAAAGTGTCTTAGGCCAGCACTTTTCCTATAAATATTTGAAAGCAGTCACAAGGGTCAGCTATTCAGGGCTTTGCACAGTGCTGCTCTGGGAAAAGGGAGGTAGCTTTGCAATGAACTGGTTATTGTGTCAATGTGTGGTATGGACATCCAGTCTTCTTAACACTGAAACACACATATACACATTCACACGTTCTACCCCGTCCCGTGCCAAATGAGGCTACATGTGTAGTGCAAAATGCAGTGAGTGCATTTCTGCACCACGTTCCCTGCTGACGTTTTGTATGCCTGTGTGCACCCAATACACTTTTCCTTTGGAGACATACCACAGGCTAGGTTCTCCTCCAGTGGATGCTGGAATGTTACTGAAAAGCTAGTGGCTTTTTGCTGAACGACGTCAAAATGAAGCAAGTCTGATGAATCTGGAAGGAAATAACTGTTTAGTGACTGTTTGGGCTAACCCTGTAGCAATAGAGCTAAACGTTTAATTTGAACTAGAAATATAAATTAGTGGGTGTAGTCAGAAAACATTTGTATTGATTTCCAAGTATTCTATATGCCTTAACTTAAAACATTACCATTGACGTAGGAGTGGGTTGGCTTTTGCTAGACTCAAGGAGTCCTGCTTTGTACAAGCTCATGAAGTTTCATGGTACAAACATCAAATGAAATACAGTGGACTTTTGGGTTGTGAACATGGTCCGTGTGGGATGCATGTTCGCAACCTGCAGCAGCGCGTCTGCGCACACGAGGGTTGCGATTCAGTGTTTCTGTGCATGTGCAAAGCGCGATTTAGCACTTCTGTGCATGCGTGACTGCTGAAATTCGTTCCAGTAGTTCCGTGTTTTGGCAGTCCATAACCTGAAAAAACACAACCGAAGCCTCTGTAACCCGAGGTATGACTGTACAGTTGCTGAAAATTTCCTTTTCAGTTTCACTATCTCCAAAAGAAATAAGTTATAAGGTGTCAACATTGTTTGGTTGGAATCCAAACAATTCCAAGCAAGTCCCCATGAATACTTCACTCATTTTTAAATCTCTGCCTGCAGGAACTTTTGCTGAGAAGGGAGGGCCGTAGCTCAGTGGCAGAGCATGAGTGCCTTGCACAAAGAAGATCCCATGTTCCACCCCTGCCATCTCCAGATCTGACTGTGAGAGAACCTCACCTGACACCCTGGAGAACTGATACCAGCTGATGTAGTGTAGTACTGAGCTATGTAAGAAAAGGGGGCAGGGGCTGAAAACAGACTATATAGTTTCAAGATGGGAGTTGCAAACGAAACAAAGAAGAAGGGGGAGAACATTGCAGCCAATGCACATTTGATTTGCGTGATCTGTTCTACGCTATTCATATTGTTGCACCCCACCCTCAATCTCCAAGGTTTCAGGGATTCCAGGTGCTTACACAGGGTTTGTGATTTCTTTTGGGAATGAGGCACAGCGGAGACTGTGGTGTCTTTATGATGTATGGCTTATCTACACATATATACAAACTGAGTCTACAGCATTAGTTTCTCCCACGGCAGCAGCCTTGGATTCAAACAGAAATCAAATATTTCTCTTTGACCCTGTCTCCAGCTTGCTGCTTTTCTTCCTGGTCATTTCACTGCTTCTCTCAACTCTGACTTTATCTGTGAGAGGGGGCCCCCCACCCATTTGCCATCTTGCCTCTTAATCCCCCTTAATGGCTCATCGCTCAAGTTTATCACCTCACGAGGCGGCTAGCCTGGCTATTCCTTGGTTAAATTCTAACACTTGCTAGATCCAACGATTAGAGGGGTCTGGTACCCAACTTAACCTCCACAGATACGATGGGCTCACAATTTCCCCAGCCACTTTCAATGAATTGGATCACAAAAATGCTGAGAGGGGGGCAGAACCAGTATGCTGTCCATCACACCTCCTTATTTCCAATGCCTGAATATCTTGTCACCACCATCCAAGATGGACCTAACTTTACATGCATCCAACATACAAATCCCAATTGATATATTTGAGCTTCACAGCAAATTCTGAAGATAAACTCTTCCCAGAATTCACTAGTAGAAACACAGCAGAATCAGAAAGAGGTGTGAGCAAAAGATGTGCTCTTACCTTCACACTCAGTTGTCTCAGACACACAGCTGCTAATGAGGGTGTTATATGCTGCTTGACGTCTGAGAACTTCAATCATATCAGGCACACATTTGGGATGGGTGAAAGGGATTTTCTTGACCATTGCTCCAGCCGTATCAGATTTTTCTATGCCTTTATCTAGGAAATAGCAGTGTTTTGGGCAGCCTGGAAGAGACTGAACATAAACCGTACAAGATTTGTTCATGGATGTAGTAGCAATTGTTTCCTGCATTGATTTTTTTTAAAAAAGTAGTGAATAGGAAACATGAATAAAAGGAACTTCCCTTCAAAAACATACCATATTTACTTGAGACTAACGTACCATAAAATCTAATGCGCACCTCAATTTTCAGAACCTTGAAACCAAAAAAAGTATTTGCTGGCGAATGTAAATGTGCCATCGAATCTAATGCGTACCTTGATTTTCATAACAAAAATGGTGAGCATTAGATTAGATTTGAGTAAATGCGGTAGTTGTCTAGAACAGTACAAAGAATGTGACACTGGACTTTTAAGCAAACCTTGAAGTAAGCTGCTTATACTATAGATGCCTTGACCACCCATTTTTAAACAAGTTATTAAATGGAGTAGTCTCTGCACTGGATCTGAAGAGTTGCTCAGCTCTCAAGCCCAATGGCACCGTGGGGAAAAACCAACCTGGATGTGTATACATGGTAGTTTAAAGTGGATTTTATGCATCTTATGTGTGCTTGTTTTTCACCTTGTCCACATGACATTGCCCTCATCTAAGTAGAAGTCCACACTTCCCTCTGCCATTTAATTCAGAACTTCCAAATCCATGTGAAATCCAATGTAAACTCAGATGTTACCCAGACACACTGAAGCACATTGTGAGGGCCACTTCTTATGTGTGTGACAACGTTTTGCTGGGTGTACTGCCACCTATTCCTGCACCCCCTACTTCCACTGGTGAGGTTTCCTTGGTGGGCTTTTATTGGGGCTGAGACAGAGACGCACTTTGGGGGGAGGGGTGAAGCCACAAGTGTGGTATATTGGAAAACCTGTATCTCAGTAATAATAAATATTGGCCACTCACACAGGTAAACAAATGATTGACATGCCCACAGTGGACTTCAGTTTTCCAGAACTCAAGGGGAGGGGTAGGAAAATACTAACTGAGAGGAGAGGACAGCACATCCCATGAACACATCCCATAAACATCAAGACGGAGTTCAGCTGAAAGTGCCCATGTATGGATGAATGCACATGGACAGAAATGCACGTGGACAAATGGTGTCTGTGTGAGCCATGTGCACATTAAGCCTCTGGTTTGTATACCAGTAGTGCCAGTTTCCGCATAGTAGGATTTATCACACACAGCTGTTTCAAGGGCAACTTGTACCAAAAAGAACTGAATATAAACTAAAAGCATGGCCAAGAAGATGTAAGAAATAAATATAACTGGATTCACTCCAGTTGGATCTTTCTATCAAGTTATTCCCCACAATGAATTCATTCTATGCTACATCTTTATGAATGAGATGACTATTATGAGACCATGTGTGCAAATGGTTTTAACCTGAAACAAGACTTTTAAAAAAGTTGTGTTATGGGTTAGTATAAGGCTTTTTAATTTAGCTTTTTAATGACATCTCATAGATGACAGCCCCACAATTTTGCACATTAGAGTCACTGAATTGAGTGTAATTTTGTGTGTGAGAGAGGGGGAGAGTAAGGAGAGAGAGAGCGCACACACAATTTGTGTATGTTGTGTAAAGGCCAACCTGGGCAAAGAATTGCAACTTAGGTCATAATCAAATTTAGCAGTGTTAAAGTCATCTACTTCAGAAAATTCATGTGACTTCCCAGAATTCAACACACAGCTTTCAGTAAGCTGTAGAATTATGACTCATTTAGCAGCTTCATTCCTGACCTCATAACTGGAGTGAATACCAACAATTGGAGTATAATTACCACAATGAAGGAAGAAGTACTTGTTATCAAACCATGCAGATGGTTTTCTGAAAGGGCAAACTGAACAATCAGCTCATGTAGAGGACCTGGCTTCAATCTAGCAACTGGAAGCCCTAAAACCAAATAATTTTTTTCCATTAGTACTGTACAAGAGCATCATTAAAGAAGGAATGCATTCGAGAGAAACAGCATCACATGAGAAGAGGCAAAGAGAGATGTGATCACACAATGGTTATCAATAAATCAGTGGGATGGTTGCCAACAGAGGGACAGGGCTATTCAGATCAGCAAGCACTTGTGCTCCTGAATGGGCAAGTTGCTCGTGGGAAGGCTGAGACAAATACCAGCATGAATGCTATACTCCTAGTACATAAGCAGCAATACTTGGTTCTCATTTTACGCTCCGGCCACTTCTCCCTTTCTAACTCCACCCTGGGGCCCCATCAGTCTTTATACCCCTGTAGAAATCACAGGGGAAGAATTAACCAAATGTTAATTAGGGTCTATTGAAATGCTAGCATGTAGGGAGGGAGGGTGGAGGTACAAAATTATGTACTTAATTAAATTAAAGCATGCCTGTAAGCTCCTGTAGTTTATGAATACTGGATGAAGACAGAGGAAAAGGACAGTTCTGGTAAAACATCAGGAAAAAGCAAGCTGATAATGGCGCAGAAATTACTTCCTTCAGAGGCAGGAATCTGGGGCTGCTGAAGAAAAGGTTTGAAAGTTAAGCATTAGGTAAAAGGAAGCTAGTTTGACCAGTACTCTGGTAGCACAATCTTATAAGTTAAGCCAATGTTTCTCAAGCTTGCGTACCCAGGTATTGTTGGACTACAACGCCCATCATCCCTGACCACTAGTCCTGCTAGCTAGGGATGATGGGCATTGTAGTCCAACAACACCTGGGTACCAAAGTCTGAGAAAGGCTGTTCCAGGATCTCAGGCAGGATTTTCCTTTATCAGATCCGGAGGATCCGTGGCCCTCCAGATGTTGTTGGACTTCAACTCCCACCATCCCTGACCATTGACCAGGCTCACAGGGGCTGGTCAGAGCTGGAGACCACCAGCACCGCTCACAGTAGACAGCACCTTCAAAGGGAGACATCAGTTGGTGAGGGGAGGGGGCAGAATAAGAGTTCGGCCTGGCCTGAATCCAGATCAAAAGCGCATACTGGGTCATGGATTGGCAGCAGCCTTTTCTTCAGACTGAAAATGGCCAGTTTAAGCATGTACTCTTAAGAAGTGTGAAGAACACAATGTGTAATTTGAGGAGGCACTTCCAGGTTTTGTACACATTTTCCTACCACGTTCCTCACAGTGTCTTAAAATGACAGACTATTAAGAAGTGAATTTGATGTGCTATCACACACCCATTAGCGAGGGATTTCCATGTTCAGTTATACTGATAGGAGCATGAATGATGCCCTCAAGTCTTACCCATCTTCACCATTTGGCGAATTCACAAGTGAGGGTGCAAGAGGGAGTCGGTGGACTGCATCAGCCCCTCCTATTATGACAAGCACCTTCCTGCCGTCTATTTTCAAGCCTGATGGAAAAAGAAGACACAAATATGTCAGACTGGTGAAGATGATACACAAATGGCCTTGAAGTCTTTGTCCAGGAACATTGATTTCCCCCAATACTTAAGTAAATTGTGATTCTAAGTACTATAGCCGGTGATGTTATTCTGTCAGAGAACAGAAGGTTGCATGATGGATGCCTTGCTTGCCATTTGAACCCATTTTGTCACTTGTTATTTCAAAGCTAGTTCTGGACTAGTCTGAGGGAAGGCCCTGTGGCAGTATCTATTTAGGCCCCCTGTGAGTTTCCATGGTGACAGCTGTGGGTCTGGGAAGCCGGCAGCCATTTTAATAATAAAATGGCCGAGATTTTAAGTCCCCACAATGCCTTGGATGAATACTATGTGAACCAGTCCAGGGCACTGATGGGAAATTTAATATGGTGGTCCTCTTCCATTTGTTGTTGTCAGTAAAAACTAAAGTGGGGGAGCAGGTGGGCCAAGCTGGGGTGGTCAGCTGTGATGGACTCTGCTGAAATGCTAAGCACTGTCTTTAGTCCTCTACCGTTATGACTGATGGTTATTGGGGGGTTTTGACCCAAGCAGATAGCAGGACAAATAAAGCAACAGGTCACCACCAACTCTTAAACTTGTCCATCTTCTCACAAAATGACCACATCCAGACCAGTACACTTCATTTTTCTTCCTCATTGTTCCAGTATTTTTCTTCACATACGTGCATTGCAATATTAACACAGTTGTGTGCCATGTAAAAAACATTACATAAGACAGTTTCTTTTTTAAAAAACCACACATCCCGGAATGGATACTAGAGAAATGGAAAATGTTACCATGTGGCATCCACTGTATGTATTGACCAGCTCAGGCCGATTCATGGTGAGTCAGCCCTACCTTCCTCTTGGTATTGCAGGAGCCCCCTTGGGTTTAAGTTTGTGCTACTACATCCAGATACACCCTGCAACTTTGATGTGGCTTGCCAAGAGAGTGATTGAAGGCTAATAATAATAATTTATTATTATATTTATATTATATTTATATAAATAAATTTATTATTTATACCCTGCCTCTCCAGCCACTCTGGGCGGCTTCCAAGAAAATATTAAAATACTATAGTCTGTCAAACATTAAAAGCTTCCCTAAACAGAGCTGTCTTCAGACGTCTTCTAAAAGTCTGGTAGTTGTTTTCTCTTTGACATCTGGTGGGAGGGTGTTCCACAGGGAGGGCGACACTACCGAGAAGGCCCTCTGCCTGGTTCCCTGTAACCTTACTTCTCGCAATGAGGGAACCGCCAGAAGGCCCTCGGCGCTGGATCTCAGTGTCCGGGCTAAACGATGGGGGTGGAGACGCTCCTTCAGGTAAACAGGACCGAGGCCGTTTAGAGCTTTAAGGGTCAGCACCAACACTTTGAATTGTGCTCGGAAACGTACTGGGAGCCAATGTAGGTATTTCAAGACCGGTGTTATGTGGTCTTGGCAGCCGCCCCCAATCACCAGTCTAGCTGCCGCATTCTGGATGAATTGTAGTTTCCGGGTTACCTTCAAAGGTAGCCCCACGTAGAGTGCATTGCGGTAGTCCAAACGAGAGATAACTAGAGCATGCACCACTCTGGCGAGACGGTCCGCGGGCAGGTAGGGTCTCAGCCTGTGTACCAGATGGAGCTAAGGGTAGCTTCCACTAAAAGAAGCTAGCAATATTATCAAGCTGTCATCTTGAATACATGTATCAATGCACACTTGAATGCCTGTAGCAATACAGAATGAAGGTTAAGGCAACGAGTCACAGCACAGGAGGGTCGAGAAGGGACAGGAGTGGGATTACATAAAGATTTCTGCTCCAATCACACAAAAGTTTGTGGCTGGGGGTGTGCATGTGTCCACACCTCAGTGTTTTGCATGCAGGAGGTCTCAGGTTCAGTCCCCCAAACCTCCAGTTAAAGGATTTTAGGTGGCAGAGATGGGAAAATCTTGACCTCATACCCTTCAGAGAGCCGCTAGCATAACCATGCAATCCTGTCCATGTCCACTCAAAAGTAAGTCCCACCGATTTCAGTGGGGCTTCATCATACACAAGCAGGGATAGAACTGGTCTTCGTTTACTCACTCAAAATGAAGCATATGTCATTTAGTGAGTGTAGAATCTATTTTAAAAGGGAATGCAGAATGAGACCACCACTATGGAGGTTTTCTAGTCGATTCACAATCCCTCACTCATAATAATATTTTTGTGGGACCTTTCTTTTATTTTTTATAGATGTATTTTATTGGTTTGTTTGCTGTAATGGGTTTTAGTGTGTTTATACTGTGTTGTAAGCCACTTTGAGTCACTTTTGTGAGTAAACTGACAAAATAATAATAAATACCTGGGGTGAGTTGTTCCTCTAGAATTTGATACTGCGATAGATAAAATTCAAGGTTCATAGGGCTTCCTATAGAATTTGAGAAAATTAGATGGATTAAACAGAAAAAGCACATAACGGATAGCAATGTAAGCTATGTAAGCTTAGGATGTTTGAAGCCCTTCATCGTTTTTGTTTGCTTCCAATGCAAAGGACTCAATACCCCAGGGCCATATTGTGCGACAGGGGACCCAAACAACTGTTTGGGGTTGCAAGGAGATTGTTGTGGAGAACTAGTTATCACCTCAACAGTTTAAACATACAAAACAAGTAAGTTCCTTTGTACAAATCACAGAATTGTAGCGTTGGAATGGACCACTAGGGGCATCTAGTCCAACTCCCTACAATGCAGGAATCTTTTTATCCAATGTGGACTCAAACCCACGGCCCAGAGATTGAGAATCTAATGCTCTACCATCTAAGCTATCACTCCTAGGATGAAATTTCTTCCTGATTGTATAAAATAGGGATAAATCATGCATACAATTCATGCATAAATATTGAGGAGCAGGCTGCAGGACACCCTAAAATAAAGTACAGTGGTACCTCGTGTTAAGAACTTAATTTGTTCTGGAGGTCCGTTCTTAACCTGAAACTGTTATTAACCTGAGGTACCACTTTAGCTAATGGGGCCTCCCGCCGCAGCCGCACGATTTCTGTTCTCATCCTGAAGCAAAGTTCTTAACCTGAGGTACTAATTTCTGGGTTAGCAGAGTCTGTAACCTGAAGCGTATGTAACCTGAAGCATCTGTAACCCGAGATACCACTGTATTCAAGAAGGTTGTACAAATGGGGGAGGAGCCCCAAGAGATGCTCCAAAGTGCCATTTAGGGACAACTCTGCAAACTGCACATGGTCAAGTAACTACCAAAGAAAAGAAGAATTATAGGCAGAAGAAAAAGGCATTGAGGGAAGCAGTGGCCCAATGATCGGACACCCAGGAAATCACTAGCTGGTCTTGGTTTTAACTTTTAAGGCAGTTGTGCAGAAAGTGCAGTTTGATCCTTTATGCTGATCGAAAGGTCGGCGGTTCGAATCCCCACGGCGGGGTGCGCTCCCGTTGCTCGGTCCCAGTGCTTGCCCACCTAGCAGTTTGAAAGCACCCCCGGGTGCGAGTAGATAAATAGGGACCACTTACCAGCGGGAAGGTAAACGGCGTTCCGTGTGCTGCCTGGCTCGCCAGATGCAGCTTGTCACGCTGGCCACGTGACCCGGAAGTGTCTGCGGACAGCGCTGGCTCCTGGCCTCTAGAGTGAGATGAGCGCACAACCCTAGAGTCTGTCAAGACTGGCCCGTACGGGCAGGGGTACCTTTACCTTTACCTTTACCTTAATACATGGATCACACACACACACAGCCGCAACAGGACTAGCACCTTATCAGGAAATGTAAGTCAAATGGGGGAGGGGAAGCAGCATTACTCATAAACAAGGAGAAGTGTATGTGAAAAGGGACCAAAATGCAAGAAGAAGAAGAGTTTGGATTTGATATCCCGCCTTTCACTCCCTTTAAGGAGTCTCAAAGCGGCTCACAATCTCCTTTCCCTTCCTCCCCCACAACAAACACTCTGTGAGGTGAGTGAGGCTGAGAGACTTCAGAGAAGTGTGACTGGCCCAAGGTCACCCAGCAGCTGCAGGTGGAGGAGCGGGGAATCAAACCCAGTTCCCCAGATTACGAGACTACTGCTCTTAACCACTACACCACACTGGCTCTCCAAGGAGGAACTAGTCAGGACCTCTCCTCTATTTTCACAGCTACCTAGACAAAGACTCGGGGACAGGAAAGGGGTTGTACACACTCATGTTGGTCTCACCGTCATCTCTAGTCAAAAAGCGGTTTTGGAGCACAAAACTAGAAAAAGCGGTTTTGGAGCGGTTTTGTGAGCAGAAAGTATACTGGGATGGATGTGCTCACAGAACGCTTCGGGTAACGAGCTCCACTAACGAGCTCCACCCGGAAGTAGATGCTCCTGGTTGCGAACTTTGCCCTGGGATGTGAGTGAAAGTTGCACACTGGTAGCGTGGCAGCAGCGGGAGGCGCCATTAGCAAAAGCGCGCCTTAGGTTATGAACAGTTTCGGGTTAAGAACGGACCTCCGGAACGAATTGAGTTCATAACCGGAGGTACCTCTGTACTACAAACAACCATGCTTCTATCATACACGCTACCTACAAAGTCACCAGAAAGCAATCCCAAGGTATTACTATTCTTTAGCATTCTTAAATTATGCTTGGCTACCATGATCACACAGATATCTACTTCAGTCTGGAGAAAGAAAGAATAAACAGTTACCTCCACTTCTTGGGTTCAGATAGCCAACTTTTCCACATAGTATTTCAGTGACTCTGTCCATACCTGGTGTTCTGTTTTTAAAGTATATACAGTAATCAGTAAGATCATGCACTTAAATGCCTTAAAATATTTATTATTATTATTATGGCAACCTTAGGCTGGAGTGCAAACATTTGAACTTGCACCTTCCCCGACCACTGTCAAACCTACCTGCTCAAAGCTGACAGTGAGCAGAGGTCTTTTTCCAAAGCCAGGAAGGCAGCAAACACCTTGGATTTTGTTTCACTAGAAAGGAAAGAGCTTATTGGAGGAAGGGGGTTTAACATACAATATAATAATTTAAGTAATTAAGTTGTAACAAACAAACCTGCTTCCTGGAATCTGATAAATATTTAACATGTCTGCCACCATGTTTCCAAAGGCATCAAAATTTTCCATTCTAAAGAGCAAAATACAAGCAACAATTGTCAGTGCTGGTAAGGCAAAGAGAGCCATCTAGCCAATATTTGGGAAAACACCACCACCGAAGTGAATCTGATATTGGCAGCATGTTGACATAGAAAGCAGTGGGATGCTCCTACCATTGAGCTACCATCAAACAAGACATCTAAAAAGCAGTTAAATAACTTTGGAAAGTGGCTCAAATTGGTCCTGGTTGGAGGGCAGGCAGGGATGGAAGCAACAGTTATCAGAACTATCTATTCATTTTTTACTTCAACCACAGAAAACGATATGGGAGCAGTGGCAAAGGATTTTTATTTTATGAAATTAAAAATTAAAAAATTATGTGTGCTAAAAATCCACCTAGCGCATATGTACCTCAGAAGCTGCAAAAGATCTTCACAGGTCTAGAAGATGAAAGAACAGAGGTTATGGTTTTCTAAAGAGGGGCACTATTTTCTTAAAAACAAAGCAGAAAGGAGAAATGACATAAGCCGAACCTTAGTCAACACGAAACTTTAGCAGACACTATGAGGAATATCCAAGGATGTTTTCCCCAGGATCTATTCAGGAACAGTCACTTTTGGTTGTAAACCAGAATCTATAAAGGCATATATTTCCTACTCTTCTCTCACCCATAGTTGGGGTGTGATTGCATCATTCTGAAAGCCCTTGGGGTCCCTTCCAACTCCACAATTCTAGGATTCTATGTAACACCCCCCCCCCGCCCCGATGCACCATGTGCTTCACTGCATCCACATATTGCATTTACTTCCTTTATTGGACTACCCCTC